AAAATATTATCACTATCAAATAATTCAACATTACCCTTAGACGACTAGACTTGTTTGCTATATTTGGATAGGTTAAACAACCCAATCAAATATAAATAATTAATCACTATTATATAAGTTTATAATTATAAAATAATTTATCAATCTTTGGGCGACTCATAAATATTTCATAATTATTAAACTTCAGTTTACCCAATACATTAGAAAACCAACATCATGTTATCTCATTATAAACATCACATAATTATGGGAGATTAAATTTTATTAAATTTGGTATCAATAAAACTTTATAATTTGACAACTTTAATGACTAACAAATTAATCGTAATTAGATACCAAATAAAAATACTATAATAAATAAAATTATAAAAATATCCACATACATAATTATCACTATAATTAATTATACAATTAATATGTAGTATCACCATTCTAGTTATACACTTAACTAACAAATATTTAATCTTTAAGTACTTTAATCAAAATCTAATGAAACACTAATGCATGAGATTTCGTGTCATGCATGAGAAAGTACCAAACTTCTTTCCCAATTGAAGTACTGTACTTCAAGTACTACCAGTACGAATTTGTGATAAAGGAGCAACAAAATTAACCTTCATGCTATCAAAAGTACGTACTATTTACAATATATATATATATATATATATATATATATATATATATAAACAATACATACATAAGCAGTAAGATGAATCCATATATAAACAATACATACATATTAAAAAAATTTCATCAGTTCATGGGGCCATCAACAGTGAGATGAATCCAGTTTATTCATACAATTTCTTAATGTTTTTTCATCATAATATATGAAAAAACATATATTTTACAACTTGTCTCAGTACTTAATTGATATTGGGTGAATATACCTGGCTCCATAATTTTGCCGTAGTTGCTTGAATTAGAAACTTGGTTACGTTCCTCCCTCTAGACCTTCCGCTTGTCTAAGAACTCTGATGGAGAGAGACTTTTGTTTTAGTTTTGGAAGGTTGGAGAGAGGACCAAAGAATCAGAATGGTTTAAAACTGTCTCACGTTCCATCAACGTTGATAAGTTATCTGATGAAGTTAAAACTACTATTTACCATTAACTGACCAATCATAGAATTATATCATTATTAAATATAAATAAATATTTATGAGCCATAAAATATAATAATGAGCAATGGAATAATAATAATAATAATAATAATAATAATAATAATAATAATAATAATAATTATTATTATTATTATTATTATTATTATTATTATTATTATTATTATTATTATTCTAACATTATAATCTATGACTCAATATGTAGAGGCTAGAGTCACTGTATAAGTAAATCGTTGATCGCTAATCAGTCCATTAGTCAGATCTTAGTTTTTATGCGCGCATATTCTATTATCTCGAGTCAGATGATAAACCATTACAGTAAGCCCGACATCACATTACTATTATCTTGTTTATCAGTAGAAAGATTATGACCCTGTTTGGTAAAATAGTTAGCCTATAGATCAATTTTGACTTATTTGACCACTATTAGTTGTTTGACTTCGTTAAAAATCAATACAAATGTTTGGTTAATTAGTTTTTTGTAACTCCAAAATGTTAAAATTTATTTTTCAATTAACTTTTTGAGAAAAAAAATTATACCAAACAGCTATCAGCTAACAACTAATTTACAAAACACTTTTCTATAATCAACTAATGTTATCAACTAACTAATTATATTCTCTAACTAACCCAATCAGTTATCTAACCGCCATTTATCAGAAGGGACCTATGAGTCATTTTGTATCCCGTGCAGATTAGAGTCTCCTAATTTACAGGTACTTTTGTCAGGACACAGATATTCATAATTGTTGGCAAATGGTGATAAGGTGTGGGCCGTGTAGCCTACTAGATAATGGGCTTGACAAACAGGCTGGTCCAATTAATGTGCTGGGCTGAACGAGCTTGAGTCTAAACCGTGGGCCTAGGTGTACGTGAAGGTTGGCCTATGGGTGTAACTGCTAGATAATGGGCTGGGCAAGTAAGGTGTTGGGTTGAGGGAAAGTTGGCCCATGGTGTCGGGCCTATACGTTGTCCAAGTCTTATTGGGCTTTGGGAAGAAGGTGATACATAAGCTTGGAGCGTTATGCTATGCAACCATGTGTAGTGCGTACACGGTTGCAAAAACGTCGTCGTTTTGACGTCCAACTTAAAAATAAAAAAAATTCAGTTTCAATTGCCGTTAACAATGTTATGTTGTGCATAATTTGAACTATACATCCATAACTTCATAACTATATATTTAAAATTGCATAACTATACATTCATAACTTCATAACTATACATTCAGAATTGCATAACTACACATCCATTAACTTCATAACTATACATTCAGAATTGCATAACTACACATCCATTAACTTCATAACTATACATTCAGAATTGCATGTATAACTACACATCCATAACATCATAACTATACATTCAGAATGTGAAATTATAACTTCATAACTATACATTCAGAATTGCATGCATAACTACACATCCATAACTTCATAACTATACTTTCAGAATGTGAAATTATAAAATTATGAACATATATTTACGTAACTAACGATAATCGAAAAAGATTTTTTAAAAAAGTAAAACGACATCGTTTTTGCAATCATATGCACCATGCATGATGCACACGGTTGCACGACATAATTTTCCCATAAGCTTTATTTTTATAGCAGTTATGGCGTGTAGGGTTCAAATTCAATCAATTACAAAAAAAAAAAAAAAAAAGTTATAAAATTGATTTTGTGATTATTATCATACAAACATTTGGAGACTTATAAGCTAGTTGAGTCACAGTTTGTAATTTATATATTCACCGTTCTTTAAAGTAATAGAGGTGATAAACTGTTTGCACGAGCTTAACTCACTGGTTTAGTATGTAGTATTTAGAAAAAGAGATTAATGTTTGAACTTCGAAAACGACAGTGTGTGAATTATGTCCATTTTTTGTATACATTGATATTTGGTCCTGTCAGAAATTTTTGAGGTCGAAGATTTAATATTTTGGAAGAAAAATAACCCTGATAAACTTTTAAAGGGAAAATGGCACTTTTTCCCCCTGAGTTATATACTTATAGCACTTTTCCCCCCTAAATTATTTAAGTGGCTCTTTTCCCCCCTAAAATGTTAAATAGACATATTTACCCTTAAAGTAAATATTTAAAATAAATATTTCATTTATTTTTCTTCTCCAACAAATTATTACTATAATTTGGTTCAAACCAAACAGATATTATAGCAACCAAACCAAAATATTCCAATTACAATTTAGAATCAAAACGCGATATTTAGAGTTTATTAAAATCGCAAATCGAAATGGCCGGTTCATGTTCCGAACTGAAAAATAAAATACATTTATTGTTGAATTTAGACTATTTTAAAATAAAAATAAAATATTTAAAATAAAGACGGTTCAAAATCACGAACCGGATCCGGAACCGCCGGTTCGCGGTTCATGATCCAGTTTTTTTTGTTCATAAATTTAATAAATTGAAATCTAAATATTGGATTCTAGATCTGAATCATAACCGGAAACTTTTAATTCGATTGCTATAGTGTCCGGTTCAGTTCGAACCAAACTGTGGTCATTGCTACATATACACAATAATTTGTTGGAGAAGTAAAATAAATAAAATGTTTGCTTTAAGGGTAGAAATGTCAATTTAATATATCAGGGGGAAAACCCACCACTTTTAAAATAATTGAGGGGGCTAATGTGCTTACATAAATAATTGAGGGAGAAAAAGTGCTATAAGTATATAACTTAGGGGGAAAAAGTGCCATTTTCCCACTTTTAAATTTGTGATTTAAATAAACTTATAGAAAGGTATCTGTAATAGCCTGAAATCATGCCGTGAGACCTTCTTATAAAAATTATGATAAATAGTTTGATTTTAATTAGATTATTTTTTTTATGATTAGTTTAATTTGATTTTAAAATTAGATTATTTGAATTCATTTTTTATGGATTTATCAAAACAATCAAGCAGAAACAGACCAAATGGCTTTACTTTATACTATTCGCGCGCGTCATGCATATTTACCCTCACTCGCGCTACTGCTTGCACGCGCTCCACTCTTCCGCTCTGTTTGGATTTTCCCAAAAAACAATGACACTTTCGACATTTGGGAAGTCTTTCATATACTTTCCACATAAATCAACTTTTATATATATATATATATATATATATATATATATATATATTTCCAAGATTGTCTATGTTTTTGGAAAATCTTAAGATGGTCCTTGCTCAAGTGTTGCATTTGCAAACAACCACTACCACTACCCAAATAGCCAACAACATGCCTTACCGAATGAGTAAAATATAATTTTTGTAACAGAATAATATTTTACATACTTAATAATTTATTCAGGATTATTTTATTATGTATCTAGATCAATGATAGTATTATATTTTACACTGCCTTCATAACAAACAGACAACAAAATAGTCCAAAAGACAAAACAATAATTATTTTTTGAGAAAACTTTACAATGTCTTATAATTCACTAAAAAAGTTAACTCAGTGCATAAAACATAATTCTCGTACCTAAAGACCATCAATTCAAATTTTACTAACATCCTGTCTCACGAGGCCTTCATAATATGATTTATCTCTCTTGTATGATTTGTGATTGCAAGTTTTTCTCGTCACAAACAAAATGTCATTAAAATATGAGTAATACTATATGTACTCCCACTTTCTACTCCATTTTATACTCCCTGCTGAAGTGTCATTATTTGATTGGCTTAAATAATAAAGTGGGCCATTGTTTTATTAGTGCCCGTGTGATAGAAGTTTATACATATATCATTTTCCTTAAAAGATAAAACAAAAATAAATTATTTGTTTATTTACAAATTGTTACTTAAAAACTTTCCTTATTTATGCTTATAAATATTACTCCGTATTATGGAAGGTTTTAGTTTCACCATAATGCAATAACCGACATGGCTTTCCTCGGACGTCATTCAAAACTAACAGCAAGCTAGGAGTGAAGGAGAGGGAGCGTGGACGGATGCGGACGTTAGAGCGCGTGAGAAAATGCTCGCATTAGGGCACATGGCCTGCTTCCCTTGGCTGCTTCACTGAATTTGCTATTCTGAGCTCCATAGCATAGATATAAGGTTTGGTCCGATCGAACAATTTTTCGGTTTTTTGTAATAATCCGTCCCCAGTCACCGGATCACGCACGCACGCGCGGCCATGATTCACCGTCGCCGATAGACCAGAATCCGGATCTGGAAAGGCGAAATCTCGAGGGGCGCATAATCATATAATTGTTGGATTGTTGTTTGTGTTCTATATATGTCTCGGCAGCCAAACTATGAGTTTCAAGAGTGGTGGAATAAGCAGAGGGTGGAGGAGGACAATGGCGTCTTCTCTTCCGGCTCGTCTTCCGGCGCTTCGCCGTCCTCCGCGGAATCGCATAGCTTTTTGAATGTGGAGATCCGCAGCCCTAGCGGCGATGGCGCATTGGACAAGGAACGGACTCGCAGCGCTCGGCAGCTGTCCTGGATTTACCTCATTAAAATCCAGCAAATCGCCGGCTCAGTCGCGTTCATCACCAATAGCTTCATCTCTATCGTCCGCACCGCCAATCGCCGTATCGCGGCCTCCAGTTCCGCCGCGCCGAGAGCGGAGTCCCGGTTGTATCGGGTAATTAAGGTGTTTTTGACGGTCTCCGTGCTTCTGCTACTCTTCGAGCTAATTGCTTACTTCAAAGGATGGCATTTTAGTCCGCCTACGGTGGAATCCGCGTCGGCCGAGGTTGTGGACTTGGTGGAGTACGTCTACGCTCACTGGCTGGAGATTAGGGCCAACTATTTGGCGCCACCATTACAGGGCTTGACCAATATGTGCATTGTTTTGTTCTTGGTACAGTCATTAGATCGACTGGTTTTGGTGCTGGGCTGCTTCTGGATCAAGTTCAGGGGGTTGAAACCGGTGGCGCAGATGGAGTACTCGTCGGACTTGGAGAATGCACAGGATTATCCGATGGTGCTGGTGCAAATACCAATGTGCAATGAACGGGAGGTAAGAAGATGTGGATTTCAAATCTTTGCTATTTTTATTATTCTTGCTATTCTTGCTATAAATAGTAGATTTTATTTATTTTAGTAATTTTGGAGCTTTACTTGTCTGTTTCTGTTTAATGTCTTTTCTTGAAGCCCTATATCAAGCTAGACATTTATGAATGAGCCATCTTATTGTATAATAATCTTTTTTTTTTTTTAAAACTATTTTATAATAATCTTGATGATTGAAACCTTACAACTTCACAGACAATTATGTCATAGTAATAAGTTGTGATGATTAATGGACCAAATTTCACAACTTTCCTAATAATTGGGGACAAACTCTTCTATATAATGATTGATTAACACTTCTTTTGCTGGATTATAATATATTCATCCTCTCATTGTGAACTAATTATTTGATTCTTCTATATGATCAACCTTGGGAATGTGCACAAATAATAAGCCGCTAACCACCTGTGATTAAAATCCCATAATTTGGGTGCCTTTAATGTTCTTGCTGTCATTTTTGTTGTCTTAAATTTAGGCAAGCTTTATTAACTTTTTCCCCTTCCATAAAAGATAGGCATTAAGTTTCTCTCTAAGATGAGTGTTAATTCACTTGTTGTGGTGTCATTAGGTCTACCAACAATCAATTGCGGCAGTATGTACTCTGGATTGGCCTAAGGAAAGAATGCTTGTACAAATTTTAGACGATTCTGATGATTCAGATGTTCAAGATCTTATAAAGGCAGAAGTACATAAATGGCAAAACAAAGGAGTAAACATCATATATAGACATCGTCTTTTACGCACAGGCTATAAGGCAGGGAACCTAAAATCTGCAATGGGTTGTGACTATGTTAAAGATTACGAATTTGTTGCTATTTTTGATGCAGATTTCCAACCAGCATCTGATTTTCTGAAAAAAACTATCCCTCATTTCAAGGTAATTCTCTTAAAATGCTCTCTTTCTATCTCTCTCTGGTACATAAATTGGCAGTGACATTAGCTGACTTGAACATTATTGGTCAAGGCGTCAATGAATGCCCTGGATCCTAAGTAACAAGATTGTCATGGTAAAGGGGTGCATCTAATTATCTTGTTACTCTCTTTTTGTACCCCTGGCTAAAAGATCAAAATTTGAGTAGACAGAGTAACAACTTAAGGTGCAGGACCAGCTTTTTGCTGTTGAGAAAGGTATCACCATTCTGCCAGATAATGAGGGTCTGATGGAATGGCTTGTCATCTATGTAATATTCATGCTGAGCAAAAATCAATAATTATGAAAAATTAGGAGCATTTTTTTTTTTTTGGGTGGGGGGGGGGGGGGGGGGGGGAGGGGTAGGTGGGGGAGTAAATTTGAGGGGAACGGGATTGAACCTAAAACTCCTTATATAGTGTTATGTTTGTATCACTAGAACACAAAGTCCTTGGCCTTGAGCAAGCTTGTTGAACTTTGATTGTTTATCAACTACTGTAATAGTCTTAATTGACTAGGTGATGTTTGCAGTGAAGAACTGATTATTATTATTTTTTTTTAATTTACTGTTGAAGGGAAATGATGAACTTGGTTTGGTTCAAGCAAGGTGGTCTTTTGTGAATAAGGATGAGAATCTGCTAACAAGATTGCAGAACATAAATCTGACTTTCCATTTTGAGGTTGAGCAACAAGTCAATGGATGGTTTGTCAACTTCTTTGGTTTCAATGGAACTGCTGGTGTTTGGAGGATCAAAGCACTAGAAGAATGTGGAGGCTGGTTAGATCGAACCACTGTTGAAGATATGGATATTGCTGTTCGTGCTCACCTTTGTGGATGGAAATTTATTTATCTAAATGATGTTAAGGTTTGTAAGCTCTAAAAGATCTTCAATGATGGTTTTTGGTGTCACATTGGAGGGTTCTCAAATTCATCCTCTTTTTGTAGTGCCTGTGTGAACTCCCAGAGTCTTACGAAGCATACAAGAAGCAGCAGTACCGCTGGCATTCAGGTCCAATGCATTTGTTCCGCTTGTGCTTTTTTGACATACTCCGTTCAAAGGTTAGTGTGCTTCTCTTGCTGACTAATGCGTGGATCATTCTGTGAATGTTGGTTAGGAGATGTAGCTTCTTCTAACTAAATTATCAGTGAGGATGTTAATCAGCATTGTTTGCGACTGAAAATACATGGTTGGACCCAATAGTGATAGAAAAATTGGATATTACTTTTTTGTATAGTAATTAGTGACAATGTCAAGCTCTGTCATGAAAACTTAGTGGATAAGCAAAATATTCGACCTTTCAATTAAACAGGGTTCAATTAAACAGAGAACAATTATGTTAAGGAATGTGGCCATAGTAATTACAAGAACTAATTCTAGTTTAGTCTTCAAATTATATAAAACAATGTTTGTTATCCCTTTATTGCTTTGTTGATTCAAATGGTTAATATGAAATGAAAGTGAATTATTATATCTATACATGTCTTTCATATTTCAGGTAAGTTGGGCCAAGAAAGCAAACCTGATCTTTCTGTTCTTCCTGTTGCGCAAGCTTATCCTACCATTTTATTCGTTCACTCTCTTTTGCATAATTCTACCACTGTCCATGTTCCTGCCCGAAGCTGAGTTACCAGCTTGGATAGTGTGCTATATCCCTGGAATTATGTCAGTCCTGAATATCCTTCCAGATCCGCAATCATTTCCATTCATCGTGCCCTACCTCCTGTTTGAAAACACAATGTCAGTGACCAAATTTAATGCCATGATATCGGGACTCTTCCAATTGGGATGTTCTTATGAGTGGATTGTTACTAAGAAACTAGGCAGGTCTTCAGAAGCCGATTTAGTAGGCATGTCGGAAACTGATTCTGAACCACTACTGCAGAATAGTTCCGTCCACAGATCCTCCTCGGATTCTGGTCTTGCCGAGCTCAGCAAACTAGAAATGACCAGAAAAACAAAAAAGAAGAGGAAAAACCGGTTATACAGAAAAGAGCTCGCTCTTTCGTTTATTTTGTTAACTGCAGCATTGAGAAGCCTTTTGACTGCACAGGGCATTCACTTCTACTTCCTGCTCTTTCAAGGGATCACTTTTCTAGTAGTCGGTCTGGATTTAATTGGAGAACAGGTGAACTAATCACTCTTTCCTCATTCCTCTGCACACTGTTTTGGCATGTATTCTATTGAGACGAAAGTTCAGCCTTCGATATTAGTCCACAAATGTCGGACAATATTCTTTCTTGGCTGGTAAGGAGTCCAGATTACAAAACCATTATCATACCTCAATATTGGCAGGTGATTTCTTCAAAATTTGCAGTGTTGTGTTCAAGAGATATGATAGAGTTGAGTGCCAGTGGGATTGGCAATTCATCTGATTGTAATTTATTATAGAATTATCATTATTATTATTATCATAGGCTGATAGGCATACTACCTCTGGCCGTTTGATAGCTTATAAAAGTGTTCATTCTTTACATTTTTTGGGTTCCACCATGCCAGTATCGCATTGACAGGTTCTGTAGTCTGTACAATTATATAGTCCAATTTTTTGGGAGAGAGATATGGAACATTGTTAGATCACTATTATGCCCTTGTCTAATAATTATTGTGCAATGCAATTTGATCTACACTTGTATGCATATTGCTATATCTCTGAGAATTCTTTTTACTATGTATTCATAGAATTGGACAGAGGTATAAAGCAAAGCCCAGTAAAACTTCATAGAGTTATCAACTAATAAAAGTTCATGGCAAATTACAAAAAGTTTTGAGAAGAAAATAAAGTTGGTGAAAATTTAGTGAGGTGGAATTAAGCAGCACCAGCTCCACCCTTGCCCTTCTTTCTTTGGATCTTTTTCATGTAGAACTCGAGTTCTTTGCCCTCCAAAATGTAACTGTTAATTCATTTAGGACACGAAAGTAAAACTGTTATAAGGAATACAACATAGTGACTGGGAAAAGAGATGTAAATAAAATGTGGTATAGTTTGTCATACCCATCAGCCCTCCCGCATTGGCCAGGTCGGGAAGAGATGCAGGCCATCAGCCTACCAGCACCAAATTGCTCTTCAAGGTGAGCATCGAGTTTACGATCCTTCTGTCGTTTCTCTAGTTTCCTAACAACATGATTACTCTTCTTAGTCTCCTCAGCAGCCGCGGTTTCTCCTTCCTGCCATGATTAAGTCAAAAGAAGTATTAGAATGGAGGAACGGTTTGGATATAGTGATTGTAATGTTTCTCAAAAGCATCAAGTCTCGTTAATGAAGTAAAATTTTCGCATGTGATTGGACAATAAAAGACGAATAAATTCAACACCTCAGCAGCTTCCTTCTTGACAGGCCCCTTCTTCTTCCTACCAATGTCAACACCGTAGTGCTGGAGGTACCACTGCTTGAAAGGGGCTGCATCGACCTGAACAATTGCACTCTTCACCAGAGTTTGTGTCCGAACAAGCTCATTATTCGAGGCATTGTAGACAACATCCAGGACACGTGTCTTCCTAGTAACAGCTTCACTACCCCAAGAATAATTTCCTGTGTCCAATCTCAGAGCCCTCCATTTCACATTGCCTCCTCGCACACGAATTCTTCTTACTGTTTTGTTGCTTGATAGTTTAGTATTTGCAGGTTGACGACCAAGCTCATACCTTTTCAATACAAATGAAGCAAAGTAAGAAATATTATACACACAACGGTATAATCTACAAAAACAAGTGACAGTATCCCCAGCAGTGAAAACAAAGAGACATCACTGGAAACAGATGGCAATAGTTAAGAATTGTGTAATGACACCAAATATGTCAAGAAACCCTAGGAGCCGAAACCACATTGTAACATTCTTCACATATACCTACACTGATAAACATAGAAACGACGCCCCCCAAGAGAAGATTTCACAGACATCAGGGTACCAGTGTTGTAAAAATCGGCCTAGGTGGCCGCTTAGGCACGACTTGGCCAAGTTGAGCACCCAACTCGGACGAGTGCTTTTTTTTGCCTACTGGGCTACTCAACTAACCATCTAACATATGTGAGAATTATAACAATCTAACAACTCCTGAGTGGGAAATGGAAAATGTGTACACGATATACTCGAATTACTTGGTAGGCGCTAGACGCCCCCAGGCACTCGACTAGTAGCACCTAGTGCCTTCTGCAACATTGCAAGGTACTATATGTAGAGGTTTTCAATTCATGAAGTACTATTTGTCTATTTCCCTACAGGCTCAAGTTCACTACCTATTATCCATATTCTATAATCCAACTGTCAAGAAATCAAGAAAAATTCATGAGCTGAAATGAACTTAATTCTGGAAACAGGGAAGATGAACCACAAGTAAACAGTTTCAATATCAATTCAACATAAAAGGTCAGAATCTCTAAGCTCATATACAATCAAACTTTTCACATATACAACCATCATGAACTGTAACAGAGCAGAGTGAGAACCCTACTTTCGCTTCTTCCTCCATGCCTTCTGCTTGCCACCAGTGGCACGCCTCTTGTGCATTGAGTCACGAGAGATACCTTTTCACAAACACATGGAGGGCAATAAATACAAGTATATACGCACAAGAAATCAAATGTACAAACTTCAAACGGGTAAACGGGCATGAAAGAAAGGGAAATAATGGTGTGCATGAGCCTCCCTGAAGAGGATTGATCCAAAGGGGTGAGAGAGGAGATCCGTACCCATTTTTGCAGAGAGCTAAGGCGTCTCCTCCTTCAATCTCTCTCTCTCTCTCTCGCGGCCGTCGAATCTGCCAACTTCTGCTGTCAGCGAGAGAGGTTCAAACTTAAAACCCTATAGGCTTGCGTTAGTGGATCGTTTGTAGCAAAAGATTTGGGCTTAATTTTTCTATTCCTAATTTAATATGGGCTTCATTGGGCCTATTATGGTCCAACCAAACCTAGTGGGCTTTTAGTCTCACAATCTTCCAAAAGGACTTATCATGGCAAATTATACTGTATGGTGCATACGGATGCAAAAACGACGTCGTTTTAATAAAACGCGCGTCTCCCCTTAAAAGAAAAAAAATCAGGTTCGATTCCCAACAACAACATATGAACTAACATTCCATAATCGATAAACTATAATTCAATAATCGTTGAACTATAATTCCATAATCGATGAACTATAATTCCATAATCTAATCTATAAACTAAAATTTTTAGAATGAATGAACTAAAATTCCATAATCTATAAACTAAAATTTCAGAATCGATGAACTACAATTCCATAATCGATGAACTATAATTCCATAATCAATGAACTATAATTCCATAATCTATGAACTAAAATTCCAGAATGAATGAAAAATATAATGTTGTTGTTGAGAATCGAACCTGAAATTTTTTTTAAAGGGGAGACGCGCGTTTTTTTACAAAACGACGTCGTTTTGGCATCCGTATACACCATGCATGGTGCATACGGATGCACAGCATAACTATCCACTTATCATGACCGCAATGATAACTCAGTTGGTTCTTGAGTGGTAAATTGAAAGTAACACAAAATTTGTTTAGCATATATAATATATAAACGTAAATGTGCAATTCAACTATAAATTTAAACTTTTACAGGGCGTTTGGTTGGAGAGGGGGAATTACGTGGGAAAAGAATTGCAATTCCATGGGAGATGAATTACTGGGAATAACGTGGGAATTTAAATTTCAGTGTTTGGTTTACAGGAATAAAATTACTGGGAATTGAAAGGGATTAAGTAGTATAAAGTCAAAAGTGTCCATTTTTGTTGTTAGGCATTAATTTTAGGTCAAAAAAGAATGGGTAATTTTGACATCACTATCTTTTTTTCTTCTTAAAATCCCGGGGAACATGAGATTTTAATTCCATGAAAATTGGGGAATTGTAATTCCATCCCTTTCAACCAAACAAGAGAATTTTGTGGCCTTTGGAATTAGGTGGGAAGGGAATTTAAATTCTCTTTCAACCAAACACCCTGTTAATTTCCTTTCAACCAAACACCCTGTTAGTTGAAATAGAACACATGTTTCAATTTGATATCAGAACTAACCACATGCCTAGTCATTGGTTCGAATATTCACGTCACCCAGATAACAAAAGAATGACTATCCAACTAAAATGAGCAATTGAAATTACAATGCATGTGAAGTCAAGGTAGTATTACTATATCACAAGTAGCTAGTCTCCTGGTCATGTGTAGTTAACGTGTAACTTAGATTGCGTGCAAATTGTTTCATTATTCAAGTCCATTACATAACTTTTTTAATTGAAAAGGTTAACACGTGATTCAACGTGCATTAAATCAGTCATTTATTCCAAAGTTGTTGCATGTGCTCCCTTCAACATTTCAAGTGCGCTCACTTAAAATAAGTAAATGGATAGGGTGCTGTCCTACTTACACCTGACCATGCACACACCCCATAGTATGGATTTAAAATGGTTAGAAAATGCCAAGAAATCTGTACTAAAGTAAGCATAACATGATTTCTGCATTATAAAGTTACAGGTTTAATTACATTAATAATAAATTTAGTTTAACTAAAAAAATATATGTATAAACAATTCCAACTGAGTTGGTCAGACAATTGGTAATGTTTCAAATTTGAATTCTTATAAACCAACTTAATTGACGTGAGTAGTCCTATATTTTCATCCCTTAAGAGAGGTTGGGAGTTCAAAACTACTCTCGTATGAAAAAATCAATATGACTAACACTTTATCCCACTGATCAGATGCGAACCGGGATTAATATGATAGGAACTTTAAAATGTTTTCTATAGTTAATTTGAATTCAAGTATGCATCAAGTTGATGATATAATATTTCCCACATTCCCTATATTTTGCAAGCTTTTGTGTAGCATGGCACCAAAGAGATCCACACCAAGAAATCATGGGCCTCTTCTTCCATCTTCTTCTCTTCTTATTGGCCATAGCTTCTTTCTCAGGTAAGCTTTTCTAAGGTTAGTTGAAGATACTGATCTGATGTAATCTAATCATTTGTGGACATTCCTGATTCTTCTGTGTTTTTTCGTTTGGTAAAATGTACAGAAACCTCGTCTGCAAACCTAGGAGTCTGCTACGGCCAGCTCGGGAACAACCTCCCAACTCCGAACAAATCGGCGGAGCTTCTCCGGCAACTCAACGCTTCCTACGTCAAGATCTACGGCGCCGACCGACAAATCCTAAACGCCCTAAAAGGCGTCAAAATACACGTTTTAATCATGGTCCCCAATGACCTCCTCCCCAACATTTCCTCGAACCAAGCACTCGCCGACGGCTGGGTCAGAACAAACGTGGCCGCCTTTTACCCGGCGACCAAGATCCACTACGTCCTAGTCGGCAACGAAATCCTCAGCCCCTGGAACGACGACTCTATCTGGCCCCACCTCGTCCCCGCCATGCGCAGAATCAGATCGGCTCTCAAGAAATCCGGGCTGGGAAAAATCAAGGTCGGAACGCCGGTCGCCATTGACATGGTGGACGCCGTTTTTCCGCCGTCAAACGCCACGTTCCGCCGCAACATCTCCGACATCATGGTCGACATGTTGCAGTTTCATAAGAAGACAAAATCCGTGTTTTTCGTTGACTTGTACACTTACTTCCCCTGGGTGGATCAGTTCAAGAAAATCGACCTCGATTTCGCGCTGTTAGAGCCCGGGAATGTTACCTATTCGGATCCCGGGTCCGGGTTCAAGTACACCGATTTGCTGGATGTGATGATTGACGCCGTTATATACGCCATGAAGCGGGTCGGGTTCCCGGACATACCGTTATTCCTGGCGGAAACGGGCTGGCCCAACGGCGGAGATATCGATCAGATTGGCGCGAGTGTTCGCAATGCCGCCACGTATAACCGGAACGTGGTGAAGAAGTTCACGGCGCAACCGCCGGCGGGAACTCCGTTAAGGCCGGGAGTGGCAATGCCGGCGTTGATCTTTGCACTATATAACGAGAATCAAAAATCGGGTCCGGGTACGGAGCGGCATTTCGGGCTGTTGTACCCGAACGGGACCAACGTGTACGAGATAGATTTGTCGGGTCAATCCCCGGAGCCGACGTACGCGCCGTTACCTGAGCCGACTAACAACGAGCCATATAAGGGTAAGATATGGTGCGTGGTGGCTAGAACGGCTAACCAGACTCAACTGGCGGCTGCAGTGGCTGAGGCTTGTAAGCAAGGGAGTCGGACCTGTAAAGCGATCCGACCCGGTGGAAAGTGCTATAAACCGTATTTGACTATTCTTCATGCAAACTATGCCTTTAGTTCTTATTGGGCTCGATTTCGAAAGTCCGGAGCCCATTGCTATTTTAATGGGCTTGCAGTCCAAACTACAAAGAATCCAAGTAAGTTTCTCAATTTTCAAAACATTTTTTAAAAAATGACATCTATAACCCTTCGATTATACACGTCAATCATTACGTAACTTTAGCTCCTCAGTTATTTTCAATACAAATTTACTCTTTTTTTTTTATTAGTAAAGTGTCTAATTCATTTTTTGAGAAAGTAAATCTATTATTCTAGTAATAACTAAATGACTAAATCTACACTTCAAATAATTGAAATATACTAAATTTACATCTTAGTCACAGCTAATATACTTAAATTACAATTTTCTCAAATATTTTCAATTATGTGAGTATCAACAAGCTAATAAAGGTATATTTTAAATTAATACGGCATGTAGAAAATGCCATTTTTAAAATAAAAAACTAATAGGGGTATATTTATAGTATTTAAATGTTATGTAAGTGATTGATTTTTTCTTTTTAATTTTTAGAAATACATTAAATTTTTACTTATGATGTTGTATATTTTTTAAAATATTATATTGATTTTTTTTTCATAGGTTATGGATCGTGCAAGGTTCCAAGTGTTACCATTTGAGAAAAGTTAAGGTAGGAGGCATCTATGATCTATCCCAGTATGAATGCAGGATGATAAAATGTATTAATAATAATACGGCCATATTTGGTAACATAGTTAACGTATCAGTTAATTTTTTCTTATTCAATTATTATTAATTGTTTGACTTGGTTAAATCATCAATATGAATGTTTGACTAATTAGCTTTGTGTAACATCTTATTGCTCCAATATGCTAAAATTCTTTTCGATAAGTCTTTTGATAAAGTCGTTTTGCATATAATTATCAATCAATTAACAGCTAATTTACCAAACATTTTTTTACAATCAGCTAATATCATCAACTAGTCAACTTCATTAACTCAATCAGCTAATAGCTATTTACCAAACATCTCAATGAATTGTTTGGGAAGAATAAATTAAATTTCTTTAATTTTCATCACTACGATTTTGACTATCTTATTGGCATCATTTAGATATAGACGTTTCCAACTTTCCATCTTAATATTCATTTGATACTTTTGAATTTGTTAATTTACCCACAAGTAAATCATTTAAAAAGGAAAAAAAAAAAACAACGATTAATGATTAAAAACATTACAACATTATTGTTTTCCAAATTGTCCACTAGTTCCTAACGATTGTTGCACATTCTTTTGGTCAGAACGAAGGAATTAAGGGGAAAAGGAATTGTAATTCGGTGGGAAAAGAATAAGGTGAGAATAAAGTAAGAATTCAAATTACGTTGTTTTGTAGGAAGAAATATAATTTTGAAGTTGGGAAGAAAAGAAGTGATATAAAGACTAAAATACACTTGTGTAATAATAATAGTAATAACAACTATGGGTAGTAGTGTCATTTCATTTGTTTTTCCTTTCTAAAATCCATTGAATTGCAATTCATGGGAGTACCCCATGAATTGCAATTCGACAAAAGGAGGAAATTGCAATTCCCTCCATCCAAACAACGTAATTGAAGCATCCATTGAATTGCAAGTAAACTACAACGAAATTACAGTGAACCAAACAACTTGTTAATTTCCAAATTGTCACGTCTACTGTATTAATGTAAAATGTATAGTGACCCACACACTAACACTAATTATGTTTATATTAGGTAATATTTTAAAGGGTGACAAAACACTTGATTATACTTGATGCAATTAAAATCATTAAAATAACATAATGTATAACCATGAATTGTATGTCATGCCCTCGAACACATCCCGATGAGAACAAAAATTTCTACAGATAATTTTTATTATTGATCATAGCCTTAGTTTGGTGATGAAAAACATGATTTGCACATACATACGTAGCATCAAAATTGTCACACTAAAGTCGATATGATTTTGTTACTATCTGTCCAAGTTTATGAATGAGAACAACTAACCAATTACTTATGCTATGACTTTGTATATCCTTTAATCTGTTGATATCTAGTCATTGTCTTTTGCTTGTGACAAGTCCGAAATTAAATTTTTGCCAATAAAAACAACAAAATCACTAGTTGATCAAGATACAAAGAATCTAAGTAAATTCTCAACTCTCAAAATATTTCTTAAAAATGACATGTTTAGCCCTTCGAGATTATACTCGTTAATCATTAAAAAATTTTAACTCTTCCGTTATTTTCAACACGGACTTACTCTTTTCATTATTATTAAAGTGTCTGATTCAATCTTTGAGAGACTAAATTGATAACTCTAATAACAACTAAATAACTAAATCTACACCAAATAATTGAAATACTAAATTCACATCTTAGTCACAACTGATATATTAAAAGTACTATTTTGTCAAATATTTTCAATTAATTGGAATCAACAATCTAACAAAGGTTAATTTATCGCACAAGAGAATCATAAAAAACAACGATACTTTTGAATTTGTTAATTTATATCACATAAATGAATCATAAGAAAACAACGATAAATGATTAAAAACATTAATCCATACAACATTATTATTTTCCAAATTGTCCACTAGTTCCTAACGATTGCTGCACATCCTTTTCCAAATTGCCACCCCCATTTTCTATTAATGCACAACGTATATATAGCGCCCACAACATCGAAACTAATTATATTATTTATGTTGGGTAAGACCTCAAAAAGTTACAGAACACTTAATTATGAGAGTGTTTGGAAAAATGATTTATAGTTAAAACTCAGTTTGTTTGATTGGTCAAACAGCTAATATGAATGTTAGATAAATAACTTTCTGGCTTAGTTTATGGGTGCCAATAGGTTAAAAATGAAAAAACTCAGCTTATTGTTTTAAAAGTTTAAACTAATCTTAATAGTTGTTTTTTTTAATGCTATTGATTCTATTACAATGTAGTATGACCTCTCATCTGAGGGGCCATAGTCATGCCGCTAGACCACAAGGCCTTTGGCTAACCTAATAGTTGTTGAATTGGTTATTGTAGTGTTAATATTTATTCAATACTTATTCAAATTTATATTTTTTTGGTCGCCTTGTCTCTCCATAAAAGGTAGCCATCGTGGTCGCTTTCTTTGATCTGAAGAAAGCGACCACGCCAGTTGTGTTCCTCTTTAAGAATGAGATCGATCAGGTCGACTTTTCCGCCGGCAGTCGACTTGAAATTGAACTTATTTGATCAATTTTAATGAGTTTGATGATTTTTTTTATTGCACATTTTTTTAAATTTTAAGGTTTAATTGTTCTATCATAGAAATTCAAAGACCTATTTAACTTTTTATCCGTTTCTCTCACACACCCAACCAAAAAAAAAAAAAAAAAAACTCTATTTTTATATAGTTGACTTGGTCTTTCCTATCACAATAGAATCCAAACCTCTAAAAGTTGACTTAAGTCTTGTGGAGTACGATAGGTAAGTGTATGGAAATTGAGCGAAAAGCTTGAGGAAAGCCGCAGGGTGACTTCCTAGTGGACCATTAAAGGGTAAACGGATTCTTAAAGGAAGAAAGTAAACGACATGATGAATAGCAAAGACGAAAGTTCCGAAATGATCTTTGTGAAGACTTTGCGAAGACTTAATGATTAATAGGTTGCTAAGAAATGAACAATTCAAGTGACAACCACTCATATTAATGATTTAATCATCGATTACTTGTACAAATTGTCCCAAAATAATGGTGGAGTTGATAGGAACATGATTTTTGTATCAGAACATCACGAGTTTGATTATTGTTAACATATTTTTAGTCAAACCTTTTGCATGTGGTCATTTTAGTGAGCTTGACCTCTCTCGTGTAATTTGAGTTATTACACAAGAATGCTTTACAAACAAATTCTAAGAGCAATCAATTAAGCTTTTTCTGTGGAGTTTTCTTACATGCCATGTAGTATACGGGTTTTTGGAAAGGAGGGGGAGGGGGGGGGGGGGGGGGGTGGGTGCCAGTATAACATTATGCGCCCAACACGCACCTACAACAATATGTTATACTTTTATTCTCATTTAATAGGTCCAACCAAAATTTTACATTTGCAAAAAAAAAAAAAAAAAATCCCAATAGTCCAAAACTTATCTCAATTTTTACTTATGAAAAAACCTCAAAAGTTCTCTTTGTGTAAAATGATTTTTATTTAGTTGTTTGTCAAATCAATTGACTTTTTAGGTGAACAAACAATCATTCACGATAAATTATTTCAAGTGTCTCATATAATAAAACATAATATTTCTAGAAAGCGAGGGAAATAGAAAAAAAAAATTATATGCCGCAAAATTATCAATGCAACATTAACATTTAACTAATTGGATAAAATGCAACATTAAATGAATCTCTATCAAAATTGAATTAGCAAAAAACAATATGCTCAAATCGTCGACTAATTTATCAAACACGTTGATGAAAAATATTTTCTATGAATCATATATTTAATCATCACAAAAATATATTTCTATGTAAATGTAACGAACAATACATTTAATCACTCCAACCCCATTATTTAAAGTGTAATACTATACATAGTCTCATTTTTTTTTTTTTTTACCTCGCTTAAATTGCATGTTCTTATTAATCCATTAAAAAAATGACACAATTTTTATTACTCTCTTTCTTTTTATCAATAAAATCATAACACGTGACAACATTTTTACTCTATAAAAAATAAAAATTCATATATCATTTTCCATTACAAAATGCCCAATTGACAACTTAACATTTCCCTTGCAAGTTGTGTGACTTGTGTTGCTTTAGGATCACAAATTCTCTCCACTTTTGCAACTTTCTACAAATATCACACTCAAAACCAAAAAGCCATCAGACCCACCACACCCTCATCAATCCAATGTATTTTATTAAACAAATTAACTTTAACTAAAAGGACATAACACATCTTTTCATTAAAATTAAGGTTTAAAAAAAAAACATTACAAATATGTTTTTGCAAGGGTTTTCAACTCCTCACCATCTCGAGGATCGGATTCCCCTATGGTTACAACAAACCCTTTTTCTTTTTCCCTTTTCACCTTTTCTTTACCAAAAGGCAAATAAAAAAATATTAAGCTATGAGATGTTTCAACCTTTTGGGAAACTACTACTCATAACAAGTTAGCAACCCTATATTTTAAAAGAAATTTCATAGCTCTTAAAGCGGTGGTCGAGTGGATAAAACATAATTTTTGTAGTCAAAAGTTTTATTATTGCTAACCCTCTCTTAGTTGACTTCGTCACTCATGGTGTTCTTAGTGTAATTTATAGCTTTTGTGTTATATATGGACACTCTCAAATAGTGGATATGAGTTTCTCTTGTCACCTAAAAAAAATAAAATTTTTTAGTTTTGAGCCCAAAAAACAAAAGTATATTACTTTTTGCCGCATTTTATACTGAGCAAGTGTATTTGACATGGTCTTAAAAAAAAGATTTTTTTTTTTTCAAACTTGTCATTATGAAACGAGGTAGATTGAAACACATACATAAATTTTAAAAAGAAATAAGTCATAAATTGAGGAAAGTAAAAAGTTAATGATGAATATTATTTAGGAGGGATTGAAAATGAAAATATGACAAATTAAGTGAAACGGTTGTACCTTTAGCACGAAATTTGTATAAATTCGTTAGAAAGAAAGAAGGGAATAAAGAAAAAAAGTTGAAAAAAATAAACAAATAGACAACTTTACATACTTTCTAAAACAATAATGAGTCATATACTCATATGTCATGGATTCGTTTAAAAGTGAATGTAATACTATATTTATATGATAAAAGTATATAATTTTTAAAATTTCCTTTTTCATTTTTTAATAAAAGGAAAAGCTGTCAAATAAGTTGTTCAAGTGAGAACAAGTATATGTAAAAAGTGTAAACACATTCACACTCTTTATCTTGAAAAATCAAATGGCATGATGTTAATAATTATAAAATGAATGTCGCTCTTAAAAGTTTTCAATAATTATAAAATTGACCCTATATTTTTTTTACTAAAACCCTCATTCATTGATGAATTTGATGGACGACTGAGATTAATCCTCACTGTTTACAAGAATACCATTTTTTTTTATATATCACGGGTTTCCACCATCGAACACAGTGACTAATCCCTCCGCTGAATTGTAGACACCTCTTTTGGGTGATACCATGTTCTTATTTGATCTCCCCCCCCCCCCCCCTCCCCCCACCCCATGTATATGTGTGTGTGTGTATGTTCAAATGAGAACCTCTGTTAACCCGAGAACTTGTGAACCATTCTACACTGTTGTTATGGCATGATTTGATAATTGTTATTATCCTCTATTCCCCCACCCCCACCCCCACCCCAACCCCAATTTATTTTTTTAGGGAGTGGGGGTACTGTTGTATAGTTGGTCCAATGACATTACTCAATGGGTGACGGGGTTCAATAGTCCTATTGAGTAGACTGTTGGTCAACGATACTCAACAAATTTATTGAATCTGTTGGAAAATCCGTTGAGCGTTGACTAATTAAATTGCCCTTCCTGGTTTAATTTTGCCTTTACAATAATAATGATAATGAGAGGCTATAACGATGTGGTTGATAAATATTTTATAGCGAAGTTTCAAAATGAGTGATTGAGTAAATGAAGTAAGACGATCAATTTAACGGCTACTAAGAGTGGACTTGAAGTCAATGGTGGTCCTTGCGTGGATGCCCCCTACCCGGGTGCCCTCCACCTCAGCCACATATACTGACACACTGCCACTACTCACCCTCTTCCTACTTCCTATATGTACACTCTACATTTTATTTTTGGGAAAGCAATACACTTCTACATGTTCATTCATTTATATATCACGGAGTATTTGATTGTTTGATGTCCGGTGGGAATTTATAATTCCTTTTCTTGCCAAAAAATTAAGTTATGGGTTTAGTTTCTCTCCTTTTTCTCTTTCCTCTATTGGCCCTGCCATCTTTTTCCGGTAAGTTTCAAGAACCGACCAATAACAGTTTATAACAGATTTTGCTTCGATCAAGCTGACGTTCTTGTTGTTTTTGTTTTTTCCGGTTGGTTTCAGGCGCAGATATCTCAGCTACGGTCGGAATATGCTACGGTCAACTGGGCAACAACCTTCCCACACCATCACGATCTGCAGAGCTCATCCATGGCTTAAAGGCGAAGCGGGTCAAGATCTACGATGCCAACCCGAAAATCCTCAGAGCTCTCGGGAACTCCGATGTTCAAGTGTCGGTCATGGTTCCCAACGAGATTATCCCCAACATTTCCTCCGACCAAGCTTTAGCCGACCGGTGGGTGGAGACCAATGTGGTCCCGTTTTACGGCGAGACGAAGATCCGGTACCTCCTCGTCGGGAACGAAATCCTGAGCAACCCGCCGAACACCACGTGGTTTCAGCTCGTGCCGGCGATGCGGAAAATCCGGCGATCCGTTAAGAAATTCGGGCTGAGGAAGATCAAGGTGGGGACGCCGTTAGCCATGGATATGTTGGAGGCGTCTTATCCGCCGTCCAGCGGGGCTTTCCGGTCCGACCTCACCGGTTCGGTTTTTAAACCGCTGTTACAGTTCCTGGACCGGACCAATTCTTTCTTCTTCTTCGACGTTTACCCGTATTTCGCGTGGGCGGCGCAGCCGACCGTTATAAACCTCGATTACTCGCTGTTAGAGCCGACGAATATCACCGTTAAAGATCCGGGTTCGGGTCTGACGTATACTAATTTACTGGACCAAATGATTGACGCCGTTATCTTCGCTATGAAAAAACTCGGGTACCCGGACCTCCGCTTATTTATCGCGGAAACGGGTTGGCCCAACGGCGGCGACGTCGATCAAATCGGCGCGAGTATTTATAATTCCGCCACGTATAACCGGAACGTGGTGAAGAAGTTTACCTCGAAGGTGGGGACGCCGGCGAGGCCGGGCGTGGTAATTCCGACGCTTATTTTCGCTCTGTATAACGAGAACCAGAAACCGGGTCCGGGTACGGAGCGGCATTTCGGGGTGTTGTACCCGAACGGGACCAACATTTACCCGATTGACCTGTCGGGGAAGACGCCGGAATCCGAATTCCCGCCGCTGCCGAAGCCGACGACCAACCAACCGTACAAAGGAAAAGTTTGGTGCGTGGTGGCTCCGGCGGCGAATCTAACCGCGGTGGCCGACGCTTTATCGTACGCTTGCGGGCAGGGTAATCGGACCTGCAACCCGATCCAACCGGGCGGCGCGTGTTACAACCCGAACTCATTGATCCGCCATGCGAGCTATGCTTTCAGTTCGTACTGGGCACAGTTTCGCAGTCTCGGCGGGACATGTTACTTCAACGGACTCGCCGTTAAGACAATCAATGATCCCAGTAAGCATCCGATTCGATTCAATTTCATCTCATTTAATTTCTACATAATTTTTAAAATAAAAAAATTTCTGAATTTTATTAATCGTTCTTGTTTCTGGGCAGGTTATGGAGCATGCAAGTACCCCAGTATTACACTTTGATGGCGAAGAAGTAGTCGCCGCCGGCGAGACCAGAAGACACCGGAAAACTGATAGAAAAGCAACAAATGTTTTCCTTAACACCATTTATCCTTAAACCATCATAATCCTGTTCTTGAAGTTATACGTTGTAATGATTAGTTTTGCATAATTCTTTGGATTAATGAATCATTCTGAGTTTTTCGTGACTAAACAAACCGCTATACCCCACAAACTAACTGGTTCAGGCAGACAATCATTCTGAGTTCTGAAACGTTGGATGAAAATATTAAATTGGGTAGGTCGAAAATGGGGCCATGAAAATGAGGAGCGAAAAGGTTTAACGTTAGGAAAGATGGTTAGTTGGCTGGCTATTGTACTTTTGCCCTTGGGGTTTAGTTGAGATTAAAAGCGACAGGTAGCTTTTTGGCAACGGCTATATATACTGTTTAAAGTGTCGGCGTCTATCTGGGCGGGGCTGAACGTGTAGAGGAGCGTGGTTGTAGTGCTGTAAAGAGTGCGACATTTTGGTGCTGTCAGTGTGTGCGCGCCGTGTGAGTACGGGCAAGTTAAGTGCTTTCGCCACTTCTCAACATTGATTTAGATGCGATGGTGCACATCTCTTCTCATTTTATTGGAGGAGTTTTGATTTACTATTATTCATAGAAGTGAAATTTCTTTATATGACTCATGTTGGTGACTTAGCGGCTTGCCGGCTTCTGAGTTGGGTTGACCAATGCCTAATATTAACCGAGACCTCATCATATTAAGTTTAACTCTTATACTAAGATTGCTAAGTCGTCTCAAATTTGTATTTTTTGTCTACAATTCCTACATCAGTGCCAATTGAGTTGTCCATGTAGATAACTTCAATCTAAAGGAAACTTATGCATCTTAAAAGTGTTAATGAACCTTAAGTGTCAAACTAATGCACCATAAGTTTTAAACATACGCACCTTAAGTTATAAATTTACACACCTTAAGCTTTAAATTTAATTACCTTAAGTTTTAAACTTAGGCACATAACCCTATAAACTTACGCACCTTAATTTTTAAACTTATGCATTTTAAACTTTGAACTTATGAATCTTAAGCTTTGAACTTACGCAAAATTATCATAATGCCATCTAATTTTTTTAAAGAAAAAATCTCCATTATGGATGGCTAAAATTTCTTCTAATTTTTTACTTGAGAACTCATTCGCATTTGATCTATAACACACACAACTAAGTAGATCATGTAAAGCCTGACTCAGTAACTTGGCCCGATTTTTTTTATTACAAGAGAAAGAGAAAGGGAACACCCAACTACTAATCATCATCTCCGCTAAGGCTTAAACCTATCACCTCCCATTTAGAGGAGCAATGGGATACCATTGGACCATAAGTTCTTTGATAGTGACTTGGCCCGATAAACTTAGCATATTTTGACATTTCTACATATCATTTCTCATATTTGTTTTTTTATTGCAAATGAATAGAGCTGCCGGTAAAAACTGGGCCAGAACTTCCTAATTCCTAAGATTGGGCCAAGGTGAAGCCATGGATCATGCCATGAATGGAATAATTGGTTCTAGGCCTTGAATACATGTTTAATTATGCATTTTTAATTACAGAGTATAAGCTCTTTGTGCTTAGATGAAATGTAGTGACTCTTTCATATGGGAGGTTATAAGATCGAGCTTTAGTGAAAGCGGCTTTGTGCTTAAAAATTACGGAGTATTATTTTTTGTTAATTTTGCTGAAATTCACTGCCATTTACAATGTTGATGATAACCTTGACTTCATATTTGGAGACAACTATGATTGTACATATTATATTATATAGTGGGAATGACTGTCCTTATTTGATGCCTCTTTTGTTATCTTATTCTCTTGGCTTAGTCTTCATGTTTGAAATTCTATAGCCTTGTAAGTTGAAAATAAATTTGACTATTGCATGCATCTTTTTGTCACCATTTTGGGTCTTTATTATATTTAGTATTAGTATATGGTTTTAACCAGGCTAATCCATCCAAATGTTGGATGATCATAAGAAATCAATTGATAAAATTTAAACTTTGGAGGCATTTATTATTTTTAATTCACATCTTAGTAGTTAGAAATATCTGCTAATTTTGACATTTTGGTATATTAAATGGTTGTGAGAGAATGAAGTTCGAATATAAATTAATTGATAGAAAATGATGTTATTTATAATCTGAACACCCCTTTCTTGAAGGGTGTTTAATAATACTGTATATAAGATAACATATAGTTGTGAATTTATCAAGATTGACTCTAGGTATACTTGAGGAGTCACACCATATGTGTAATGTGTCACACAAACCAAGGCAAATATATATATATATATATATATATATATATATATATATATATATATATATATATATATATATATAGGGCTGTGTTCAAGTGCGAATTGTTCGCCCAGGAGAGAACTCATAACGCATGACAATCGGTTACGTGTCTAGATCTAACGGATGAAAAATACTGATTTAAAAAAAATGGTAGTATTTTCGTAAATAATTGAACATCGAAGTGTAAGTAAAATGTATTACAAGTGCAAGTAGCGGTTCTATATAGGGTACCTCAGTGCAAATAAAATGTATTACAAGTGCAGGTAAAATATATTACAGATGCAAGTAAAATTTACATTGAGCATCATTACTAAATGCACATAGCGTTACGTTATTAGTTGTAAGTAGTTGCACCTAGGTGCACGAATGTTAACAAGGTAAAATTACGTGCATTTGTAAGTGAAAATAAGTGCACTTATAAGTGATTTTACTTGCGCTTTTTACTTACAAAGGTGTACCAGCTACTTGCACAAAAGTTCGAGTTATTTACAAAAATGTCACTGCATCGAATTTTTAAAATTACATCTGATTTTTTTTATATGGACACGTGGACAGCTGTAAATGGTTCTTATTTCTCTCTTGGGTGGCCGTTCGCATGAGAGCGTACCTTTATATATATGTCTCTGTGAGTACATGATCCTCCTCTAAAAAAGTGGGAATTGATCTTAACTATCTATCAGAGTTCATCAATGATTAAATATTTTAGTAAAAAATGTAAATTAATATGATCCATTCATTTAAGTATATCAACGGGTAAAATCGATGGAAAAGAAGGGGAAAAATATGAGTTTTAGTAGTCAGTCCAAGGCAAAGCTTTACTGTGACACCCCTTAATCCCTTATCCATTAGAATTAGAAAGATACCAGAAAGGTTCGAATATTCTAGCTTGTTCTCCTATCTCGAAACGACAACTCTTTTGTGTGTTTTGCTTTTTAGCCGTAGACTTGTACTTTTTGTCGGATAATATTAAAACGATAAGCATTGTGATTGGGGCACTCGATGTTCCAGGTGTCCACAACTGCATTGTGCCATTGGTTAGATGAGTAGTAGTTATCAACAACTTTGATAAACACAAAAAAACAAAGTTTATCAAATGTTAAGTAATAACTGATTAATACAACGTTTAGCAATTTTTAAGAACGGTAGGACCATCTTACAACCTGGCGTTGTATAATTTTAATTTTTTTTTTCTTTTGTTTCATAACATATCAGTATCCATACTTCGTATCTAATACTCCCTCTATCGCATTTTTTGTGTCTGATTCGGTTAACGAGGCTTGACTGGAGTTATCTTTAATCTAATTTTTCATAATATTAAGTTTAATATTAGTATACAAAATTTATATATTTAGAAACCACATTAAAAGTACTATTAAATACAAAAATTCATAATTAAAAATAAGTAAAAAATACTAAAGAAAATAAACAAAGAAGAAAGAGTTGAGTTGACCAATAAATAAGAGTTGAGTTGACCAATAAATAGTAAGTATGACAGATAAAATGGGACAGAGGGAGTATATGTTTATATAATTTTAGATGACGGGACAAACTCGCAATTATTATTTAGAAGTATGAACGGAGTAAGCTTTGTTCTTGTGTAAGTATTAAAATTATTTTGTCAAAGGCTTTGTGATCGAGTGGCATAGCTGTGGGCTCTCAAATGAGAAGTCTCATGAAATAAGCTTTAGTAATGATTTGACCAATAAAATATAAAATATTTAATTAATTTGGACAGGAAAATGAAATAGGAGAATTTTACTTTTATATATATATATAGAGAAAATTTCAGTTTTGGTCCACTGACTATTAGGGTTGTGTTAATTGCAACACTTGACTTTCAAAAATGTTAATTGAGTACCTTGACTATGTAATTTCTATCAATTTTGGTCATGCCGGCCAAATTGCCGGCCGATTTTGACCGGAAAATCTTAACTCATTAAATAAAAAGGGCAAAATCGTCATTTCATATTATTCAAACTTCCTTTGGCTTCCTTCTCTTCTCCGACCTCGTTCCCCTCCTCGCCGTCGGCGCCTTCATGAAGAGCCGTTTTCAGAAATAGAAATTTCATTGTCGCCGGTTTCTGAGTCTTAAAACCAACACAAAACCCAGTTCAAATAACGATTCTAAACGATAGCATTTGCAGCACTGGCGATCCTAGGCCAAAGGTCAGCACATTCATTCCCAATAGGTCCAGTAATGGCAGATCCTTTCATTTCACCCTTAGGATTCACAATGACACCAGCAGAAGGCAACCTGTTGAGGCAATCCTTTCGGCCAGAAACCCAGTTCGAAATACATAAAAACGCCATCCTTTCGGCGCCATGGCTTGCGTTGACGGAGATCATGTCTTCTACGCAAGCAGAAGGCAACCTGTTGAGGGGCCCTTGATCCCCTTCACGGATATGATATACAAGTTCTTCGCTCCAGTGTTATCGGCGCAGTTCACAGTCCCCGCGACCGGCAGACCGAGCGACATCCTGAACTTGTTCCCGGCGGAACCTCCGCGTCCTCGCTTCGACATCGTGAATCCTCTGCTCTCCAAAAACTAAAGATTAAAAATTACTACATTTTCTCCCTAAAATCACATCAAAATGTCGTCTGCTAACCTCAAAATGTCTCCAATGATCCAATATCGAAAGTGCAGATGTCGTGACTGTACCTGCGTTTCTGGAAGAAGAAGCAAAGAAGGAGAAAGAAAATGACGATTTCTTCTCCGAGCTTCTCTCAATTTCCTGAATCTGCCCCTGCGGCCCAGTATTAATTCCGTTGAGAGATAGAGGTCTAATGTGTTTTGGCAGTGATACCAAATGTTTCAAATTTGAAGCAACTAATTGCAACCAGATTTTTGACCTTACTTCACTGTAAGCATGATATTCGAATTTTAAAGCGAGTTTGGAAGCACGAGATTCAAATTTTAAAGCTAGTTTGGTAAAGAGAGAAAGTCGTCGATGAGTATTGATGTACCTGCGAAGAAGAAATCCTGAACTTTCCTTCGGAAGCTGCGAAGCACAAGCTTCAGATGGCGACACAGGCCGCCATGGACGGTGCAATGAAGCAACGGTGAAGAAATCGTCAAGCTGAAAGAAAAATGGAGTAAAATGACTAAACTACCCTTATTATTTGACCAATTAAAATTTTCCGGTGAGATTTGGCCGGCAATTTGGCCGGCGTGACCAAAATTGATAGAAATTACATAGTCAAGGTACTCAATTAACATTTTTGAAAGTCAAGTGTTACAATTAACACAACCCTAATAGTCAGTGGACCAAAACTGAAATTTTCTCTATATATATATATATATATATATATATATATATATATATATATATATTGTTATAATGTTATTTAGATGTTTATAAGCATGGAATTGAAGTGAAATGTTGTGGCCCATAACACAGTTATTTTATGATCATACACAATCCTTATACCATAAATCAAGGTTTATAATGCACTGTGAACTTTAGTGCATATGTATGTGTCTTATAATGTAATTTTTGTATATTACGTTATAAAATTATGTATTTTAAGAGTATAAATATTATACCTGAAACAAATTAGTAATTATGTCTTATATTATGAATTTATGTGTCTTGTGTTGTGAAATTTTGTGCTTATGAACATAAATTATGTATCTAAATTAGATATGAAAAAGAAGTAAATATATAACATATGTATGTGTCTTGTGTTCTAATTTTTTTTGTCTTATATTACGAATATAAATTATGTACCTCGTCATTTCAATCTATAATTTATAATGCTATGTAGACCTTGGTTCATGATATAAATTGCCGATCACGCATGCGTTAGTGCGTTACTTAGTGCTCAATATAAAAATGAGTGGCGTTAATTAAGTAGATTAAGATAAGATGATTTGGTTCCTACCAACCTTATTCTAATATTTATTTATTTATATATAATGACTTAATGAGAGGCACCTGTCCTTATACATTGAAGGCCGGACGCTTACCTTTTTTCTCTTTTTTTAATGTTGTCTTTGAAGGTGTTACATGAGCCATGATTTGATTTTTATAAAATCATAATGTTGGGCTTCTTCTTCAATGTCACTTGTGAATTATATATAATTAGAATACAATTGAAATAAGTTAAATAATCGATATGGTCTAATGGTATCTGGGTTGGACTTCCATTTGGAAGATTGTAAGTTTGAGCCTTAGTGGAGGCGTTATTATTGGCTCTTTGTGTTTCAGTAGGTTGAGAAAGTATATGAACAGATACTACAATGTAATAGAGCTAGTAGCATTCAAAAAAAAGTTAAATAATCGATATAATATGATTTTTGAATTTAAAAAGTCCAATTACAACATTTAAATTTGACAAACGTATAATTTTGTTAGCATGTTTGCAATTAGTTATTGCTAATTGTACTTAATGACTATCTTTTTCATATATTTTATTTGTTTTTTTTGGAAAGGATATTTTATTTGTTATTTTCTGTATTCAATATTAAATTAGAAAGATATGAGACATATTAGCTAAAATTTTGCATTTATGTGCAAATATACACTTTGCAGCACTACCCAGTGCATTTTTAACACGTATACATGTACTCAAAATTTGCAATTCTATAGGCATATTTCAAAAAAAAAAAAAAAGTATATGTGCATTAGACAATATGTAAAGTGCACTTATGATGGATGTATTTGTAGAAAATACACTTGGTAATGTTGCGAAATACACTTTAAGTTTGATATAATTACCACTTTGTCAACACTTTTTTTCTTTGCATTAAAATTGTTGATCACCTTTGCCCTTTTCTTAGTATACTTGTTGATTTAAGTCCTTAAACTTGGGTTACGTGACAGTGGGTCAGAGTTTTTCGAGCTTAAAGTAAATGTTTAGAAATTGTCAAAAAGTCCCCCATATCACATTTAATTCAGTATTTATAAGGAGGGTCAGAGAACAACTACCAATCTCTTGACATGCACGACACGTGAAACACAAGCAGAGGGCAAAGTCGGGCAGTCTAGGTTGATCCGTCCACGTGTTCGCAGATTTCTGTCGTCATAAGATCCACCATCGTTGTATTCAGCTGATGCTTTAAGTATTTCGGTCGAGTCCTCGGTCCCGACCTAAAGTGATCGAGGTAATGCAATCAACACTGATCTCCAGTCGGTCACTGACACCACCCTCGGTCTAGGATTTAGGTCGGGGAGACACGCAGTCGGATTAGTCTTGATTGGATCAGACTCGCCTAAGGTAATGGTTCCGATACCAGTTAAGTGTAGACTAATGCATGGTTGGGGATAATCCCTTTTATATATATTGTTGTGTATAATATACAATACTATGCAATTTTAAACAACTAATTTATGTATAATAAACTTAATACGAGTAAATATTTTAAGATATTTAGAAAATTGGTTGAATAGTAGTTGTGAGGCAATAGGACACGACACAAAAATACAAATGGATATTTTATATCTATCTTTAATATTTAATATCTAATCTGAATGAATGAATGGGTCACCCCGGCCCCACATCCACAGATTCTTCAAAATCCCAATAGCTACAGCCCACCGTTTCCCCTACGGAAATTCCTTCTTTTTTACTCCATTTTTATCTCTTCTTTCTGCGACTGATAACGTTATTGATCGTTGGTTATCACCACCTTATCACTCTCAGCTCCCAATCCCCATACAAGATTCCTTATAATCTCTCTCTCTCTCTCTCTTGTACTGCGCTTATCTTTTTCTTTCTCTTTTTGCGTGGATTTCAGTTATTGGTTGTTGAATGGACTGTGGGCTCTCTCCTTCCCTTCTCAATTCTTCGCCTTTTGCGGGGAAGAGCGTGTTGGCGCCGACGACGCCGGCGTTCAGATTCGGGTTCCCGAATTCGCGGGTCGGAGGGTCCGGAATCGGGTGGCGGAGAGCGTTGGTTGTGGCGGCGAGTGGCGGTCGGGCGAGTAGGAGCCAGTGTGAGTTCAGTGGGTTGAACGCGCCGCTGGAGCCGACCACGCCGTCGGGAAGGTTCTTGAGCACCGTGTTCCAGAACGATCGCGAGTATTTCCCGCTCGCCGTGGAGAAGCAGCTGGAGCAGCTGGCTTACGACCGGGATGAAGCCGCGGCGAGGATGACGTTGAGCTTGGCCTCCGATGAAGCTTGCCTCCACAGGTAGTTTCGAGTTTTCCTTCTCCCTTCTCGCTTTCTCTCACAGATTCGTTAAATTTCCATGGATTTTCCTCTCAAGATTATACATTCTTTTGTTTTTTGGCTTTTGCATCGGTAAAAAACATATGAATTTTGAAACTCTTCACCATGGTTGTCTAGAACAGGATTTCAATTGCTTGCAGGAAGGTATAATTCTGCTTTACTGTCTGGTCTAAAAGAATGAATTTGATGTTTAGCCCTATGAGTCTGGTTCAAAGATCCTTATCGATCAAGATAGAAATGTAATACTAATCAGAGATGATTTTATTCCAGAAAAAATGTAATATTTTTAAAAGAAGTTTAATATTTAAGTGTTAGAAGAGTTACTTAATGAAAGTGTAATACAGTGTAAATACTTATCATTAAATGTAATATGAGTTTGGTTAAGATGGAAATGTAATACTTTTGGTGGAAAATGTAATCTTAATCAGAGTTCACTTATTTTGAGGAAAAATGTAATATTTTTAACGAAGCAAAATATTTAGGTGTAAAAGAGTTACTTAGGGAAAGTGTAATACTTACGAGAAAATGTAATATTTAGATTCTGAAGAGTTACTTATAAGGAAAAGTGTAATATTGTGTATATCGTATAGGAGATTTTGCCTTGAGCAAATATAAAATACTGCAAATTTTAGAATGAATGACTCTTAACTATGGCTTCATTGTTGCTTGTTCTTCTCCTTGTGTGTTAATATATATATATATGTGTGTGTGTGATATGACCTTATTATTCAGGCTGATCTCTTGGCAGCAAAGCTCATTTTATCCATTCTTTAACTACATTGCACTCCTCAGGAAAATTAAAGCACAAAAATACTTGGGGATTGCATGGATGGAATGGATATAATGATGCATCAATCTCTCAGGAACAGCTTGGCCTGGGAATCCATGCTTGTATTTGTGTGTTTCTTCGTCTTCTTGTCACGTTTTCCTAGGAGCTTTTGGATGATGATGAGATACTCGGGCCGATTTTGTTTTCTCGAGTAAAGCCGCCTTGTTGGAGTTCGGTTGTTGCTTGGAGATCCGCTAATGGAGTATGCAGTACCCGAGTTTTATAAGAGGCAAGCTAGAAACGATAGATAGATAGGAAGTGTTTAGGCGGCTAGAATTTTTTGCAAGAAATTATGTTAATGTAGGTCGATTGGTTCCTCTGTCTGGTTCGCCATGGTAGGATGTATGTTTTGTTTTATTGCTTGGCGCTTGATAGTTTACTGAGATGAAGAACGTGGTTTTCTCGTGGTTTTACTAAGCGTTGAATGTGGTGAATTTCCAGGAGGATTGCCGAGTTGAGAGCTCTGGACTGTGGAGCTGCGGTTGAAGATGTGATGTACATGTCGATACTCTACAAGTTCTCGGAGATCAGGGTTCGTTTGGTTCCTCGCCTCTCGAAATGCATTTACAACGGGAGGCTCGAGATATGCCCTTCGAGGGACTGGGAGCTCGAGTCCATCCACAGCTTGGAAGCTCTCGAGATGGTGAAGGAGCATCTCACCACCGTGGTTGGATGGCGAGCGAATTCCAAAGTCACCGACAACTGGGCGCCCACTCAAGTCCAACGCCTCCATCTCTGCCGGGTCTACGCCGCCTCCATTTTGTACGGCTATTTCCTCAAGTCCGCCTCCCTGAGACACCATCTCGAACAGAGCCTCGACGGCGGTCTCAGCCACTTGTCCACGCAAGTCTGTCCTTTAGGGTCCAAGAACGTCGCCCTCAGCCAGGGGGGCGGTGGTATGCAGCCGTTGCTAACCGGCCCGATATCATTCGTCCAGGGCGAGAAGCACGAAACGCTCAAGTCTTACGTGATGGGTTTTGATCCAGAAACGCTGCAAATGTGTGCAAAACCGAAATCCAAATCGGCCATGAACCTGATCGAGAGGCAAAGCAGTGCGCTGTTTGGGGACGAAAGGTCGGGCCTTCTCCTCGAGAGCAATGAGGTGATTTTGACATCGTTGGCGAGTCTTAAACGAATAGTGCTCGAGGCCATTGCCTTTGGTTCTTTCCTGTGGGAGACAGAAGAATATGTGAACAACATATATGATCTTGAGGCCAACTAAGCAATGGCTGCCATAGTAGTCTCCTCCATTTGTGTATAGAGTTTTGTGTTTTTCGTTTGTGTTATGTTGTATAGTGAGGCACCCACAACCCAGAAGCTAATGTACAGAGTCCTCACGGAGGAATTGAGTGATCGAACAGATAATTTTGGTTTGATGTTCTGTTTAGTCTCACAGCTATGTGTTTGGATTTCCTGGATGTTCTCATCTTGAGAGGTTTTTTTTTTTTTTTTTTTTTTTTTTTTTTTTTTTTTTTTTCTTTTTTTAACTACTTGGAAGGTCTGCGCGGGTGTGCAGAGTAAATCTTGATTTGTGTGTAGGTGTACACGGAGTAAATAGTTCACGAATATAAGAGTATCGTCAATAGTTGTAGTTTTTGCCGGTGTGAATGTGTGATTATGAAAGAAAAGATTAGAGGAAAGAGAGGAAGAAAGAAAAAAAAAAAAAACAAAGTTGAAAACTTTAACAAAAAACGTGAACAACGCCTTTAATTGGGGCGTTGGGTTGCCCTTCACGTGACCAGGGTATGAAAATTAGAGCATTTGGTGGGTCTCAATGTTCCATAAGTCTACTAAAAATCAAGTGCAAGTGCTTGCATTTCACGTGACTCCCATAAATCTACTAAAAATCAAGTGCTTGCAGGAAAGATTTTTTAATTTGTAGATGGAATACTCTAAAATCCATTGAATTGGGAGTTAATACCCAAAATTGTCCTCGACTATAGTATTTTTCTCAATTTTGTCCTAAACGACTTTTGTGACTTAATGTAGTCCCAAAGTTTTGTGTTTTTACTCAATTTCATCTCAGACTTTTGTGTTTTTGCTCAATTTAGTCCCTCATTTATTATTCTGTCCATTTGTTGAAAAATTCAGTAATTTTAATATTGGCATCTCTTTACTCATAGGCATGTGAAGTGCGAAATCCATCTTTTTTTACGTATTATTCCAGAATTACTTCTAAACATGCGAATATAAAATTTGATTCGTGGGTCTGAAAGTAACTCTGGGTGTAATTCATGCAAGAAAGAGAGATTTCTCACTTCGCAGGTTGAAAGTAAAGAGAGGTCAATATGGATATTATTGAATTGTCCATTTATTTAACACCAATTTGACTGAATAACAAATGGAGGACTAAATTGAGCAAAACACAAAAGTCTGGGACTATATTAGGTCACCAAAGTCGTTTAGGACGAAATTGAGAAAAACCATTATAGTCGAGAACAATTTTGGGTATTAACTCATTGAATTGGCGACCTTCAAATATGATAATCATTTTTTAAATCTTTTTTGGGGCTCGCTATAAACACTTGTTACAACAACAAAAAAATACGTGTCACATTTGTAATTTAAACTATATAAAAGTTCTTATGAAAAGCATCAACATGTTAAGTTGGTTTGACTCTAAATTAAAAATGCAACGTATTATAATTTTTATTTACTTAATATTTGGTTAAAATTAATTAATATATGTGACAACTGACAACAAAAATAATAGATAAAACTAACTAAATAGTTTTGAAATAAAAATGAAAATAAGTCTTTAGATTATTATAAAATAAATAATATATTATATTTTGAAGCAAATTAATATATATATATATATATATATATATATATATATATATATATATATATATATATATAGCTTAATAGTCAATGTACTCATATGTGTCTCCAAAAGATCATTTTCTTTGTCCAAATTATATGGGTTTGGCTAGGAGATATTGGAGTTGTATAATGCAACATGTTCATAAGGAAGTAAATTATTGTGTTAATTGGATAATAAATTTTAGTCCAATTACTTCAAAATAAATTTAATGACTCGAATTGACTGATTTGGGTAGAAAGTGAACGTGGACGTTCGGGTGGCATTGGTACATTGTAGCGAGAAAGGTGTTTTTCGTCAATTCAGGTACGTACGTACCGACACTCCGATATTGCAATTCTGGAAAAAATATCATCGATTCATTTCATTTCATACTGTCCGGCTTTGCAGATTTGCATTCTTCAACTACTTGTTAAAGAGGTGAGAGCTTTTCGGTTCGAGTATGGCTGCCGCCGGGAGGCTTATGCACGCGGTGCAGTACGACAGCTACGGCGGAGGAGCCGCAGCTTTGAAGGTCCTGCAATTATTTTTTGGTTGTCTTTTTCACTGCTGTTGCTTAAATACCTAGTTTTCGGCCTTTTAGGTTTCTGTGATTCGTGAAGATGTGTTGTTATTTTATTCCTTGATTCTATAGTTCAGTAGCGATTTTATACTCAGCAGTAGCAGATTCGTTTTACTTTGCGATTGATTTTTCACCAAATAGAGAGAGAGAATGAAATGTTTATAAGCTGTAGTGCTCAGTAGACAATGAAATGTTTAATTCAGAGTGGGAATCAACAAATTTATATGGCACAAAAAATGATCAGTAGCGTTGTGTGTTTATAGGGTAGATGACATCAATGGTGTTCATGTTGTTGTGTGAGCTTGAAATTGATGGAGTTTGTTTGTTGCAGCATGTTGAAGTTGCTGTACCTACTCCCAAGAAAGGTGAGCTCTTGGTGAAGATGGAAGCAGTAAGCATAAATCCAATTGATTGGAAAATTCAAACAGGTGCCATTCGACCCATCTTTCCCCGCAAATTTCCTCATATTCCAGGTATCTATCTTTCTGTCTCTACTCTTTATCTGTCATATTAGGGCTGGTTTTTGTAGATGTGATTGTAAGTACCTAAGGAACTTAGATAACGAGATGATCGATTGATGTTGTATGATGCTGATATTGTCCTGTTTCCACCTCCTCAAAAGAAATGAGGAAAGAAGATCGAGAAGCCAATTTACCACAGTCCCGTAACCTCCCTTAGTAACTCGCCATTTCCCATCCCCCGGGCAACTGCCACCAGCCTCCCATTAAACCCCTAATGGCCTAATAACACTCGCATGAGGTATCTAGAAATGAAACCCCAATTGTCCTTGAATTATTTTCCTTGTTTTGAAGTTGATTCGATGCACTAGTTGTGACTAGTCTTCTGGCCTAACTATTGTTTACTTTTCCATTTATACTTTAATCTTGCTATAATCTTTCTGTTCTTTCTTGCACGGGAGCAGCTAGTGATGTAGCGGGAGAAGTAGTGGAGGTTGGTTCTGGTGTTCAAAATTTCAAAGTCGGTGACAAAGTTGTTGCTACAATCAGCACTCGTGTGAGTATCATTACATTTGGGAATATCATAATTTTCTGACCAAACAAGATTTTTCGTTTGAATGACTTGACCAAAAATCGTTGGCAAAAAATGGATGATAGGATTTGGCATTTTGAAGATCATTTGTGCATTCGTTAACCTGATAATTGTTATCACGATAACAGGATGGAGGTGGATTAGCGGAGTATGCTGTGACAAAGGAGAGCTTGACAGCTGCGAGGCCACCCGAAGTATCAGCAGCTGATGCTGCAGCCCTTCCCATTGCTGGTCTTACAGCTCACGAGGCACTAACCCGAATTGCGGGGGTCAAGCTCGACGGGAGCGGTCCTAGGAAGAACATCCTTGTGACTGCTGCCTCCGGTGGCGTGGGCCACTACGCTGTCCAGCTGGCAAAGCTGGGGAACACACACGTCACAGCCACGTGTGGGGCACGCAACATCGAGTTCGTGAAGAGCTTAGGCGCAGACGAGGTCCTCGACTACAAGACCCCCGAGGGCACAGCTCTTCACAGCTCATCGGGCCAGAAATACGACGCTGTCATCCACTGCACCTCGGGAATTCCCTGGTCTACCTTCGAGCCCAATCTCAGCGACAACGGCAAGGTAATCGATTTCACTCCCACCCCCGCCGCCCTCTTAACGTTCGCCCTCAAGAAGCTCACCTTCTCAAAGAAGCAGCTGGTGCCAATGATTTTATCTGCCAAAGCTGAGAACCTGGACTATCTGGTTAAACTAGTGAAAGAGGGGAAGCTTAAAAGTGTTATAGACTCAAAACACCCTCTGAGCAAGGCAGAAGATGCTTGGACTAGGAGCATTGAGGGGCATGCCACGGGGAAGATAATTGTGGAGCCATAAAACAATATGTATAATGTTGTATGTTTTAAAATGGATGTGTGGTGTGTTAATGTCCTCAAGAACCATGTATTTGGAACCATTACAAGGTTGTGCTAATGTATCATGTATGATGTAACTAGGAATATGCTATAGTTGTTCATATCATATTCATAATTATTTAACTCTATATTCACAATTATAGAACTCTATGTTTATAATTACTGAACTATATATTTATAATTATAAAGCTATATATTCATAATTTTTGAACTTCATATTCATAATTATTGAATCTCTATATTCATAATTGCAGAGTTATATGTTCATAATTATAGAATTATATATTCATAATTTTTATACTATATATTCATAATTATGAACAGTTTTGGAACCGTGTCTGCTTTGCAAGGTGGACACAGTTCCACAGCATAATTTGTCGGAATACTTCAAAAATCTCTATCTGATGCAGCCCAAAGAGTTCAATACAGGAGAGTCGATGCAGCCCAAAGAGTTCAATACCTCACCATCAGGGTTCGAGGAGAGGTGGCTCTATGCCTCTATTAGAGTGTAGTATCTGTCCTACTAAAACACAAAGAACCAATAACGCCTCCACTAAAGCTCGAACTCACAACTTACAACCTTTTAAATAGAAGTCCAACCCGGGTACCATTAGACCACATAATCTTAATCAATGATTGTTAGTTGTCATAAATATTGTAATACTTATAATTGAAATTACAATACTTACAAAATACATATTGTAGACAATTTAATACGAATTTGAATTTAAAATAAATGTTACAATACTTATATGTGAAAATTGTGATATTATTTAGACTAAAATTGATTGTTACTAATGATAAATATTATTATAATACTTATAACTAAAATTTAATACTTATTGTCTATAATTTGACATATTTCACGGATAAGGATCAATGAAATGAGCACATACAAGTTTTTGTCGTTTTTATTTTGAGTCTTTTTGACCATTTGTGAAGCTTTAAGTTGGGTTAAATTTCAAAATTGGGACTTTATTCACATGGAAATCGACTCTCCCCTGGTGCTTCAAGGTCTCAACTCTGATGACATGTATAGTTGAATGGCCGAGGCTATACCCCTTTCATCATGGTACCTCACGAGTGGGGCAATCCAAGACTGCGAGGTGTGCGGTTACCACATCTTCTTCGTCAAAGTGTGGAAGCAACATCGCAACCCTAAGATATGGAATAGATTAATCTGAAATCAAATGAGTTGGCTGTTTGAATAAGAAACATTTTTTTAAACTATAATATTTTTGGGTAGAAATATGTGAAGAAAGTGAGCTGAGATTATTGGACTAAGCAGGAAGTAGCGAGAAACGTGTTTTTCGTCAACGCTCAAAAAATATTGATTCATTTCCGGCTTTGCTGATTTCCATTCTGCATCTACTCTTCATAACTTGGTAAAAAGATTAGAGCTTTTTAATTCGGGTATGGCTGCCGCCGGGAGACTTATGCACGCCGTGCAGTACGACGGCTACGGCGGAGGAGCCGCCGCTTTGAAGGTTCTTTTTCACTAAATTTTTCCTTTTGGTTCTGCCCTTTCCACTGTTGTTGCTTAAATTCCTAGTTTTCGGCCTTTTGGGTTTCTGGTTTTCTGTGATTCTTGAAGATGTGTTGTTCTTTTTATTCTTGATTCTATAGGTCAGTAGCGATTTAGAGAGAGAGAGATCGATCTAAGGTTTGTGTAAATTGTGTATGAAAGAATTTACTGCGGGCACAATATATAGTTAATACTGCTACTATACCAACCTGCAAATTTGTGTAATTGCCCATACCAATAGGCCATTTTTGTTCTCAGGGCTAAAGAATTTAGCTGGAAATTGCACATGTTTAGTGTTCTTCCGAGACGAGGGAAACTACGGGTAAATTTCGACTTGTGACCCTAGTCAGCCAATAAACCACCTTAGGTTGCCATAGCAGACCGACTCAAACCAAGAAGGCCGCTTCCTCTGAGAGTTGAACTTATAAGCTTGTGGTTACCAAGTCAACAGCCTACCAACTTGGCTGGGGGAAGTTTATTGTACTTCTAAATTTATAGGCTGTAGTGTCCATTAGACCATGAAAAGTTTAATTCAGAGCGGTGATCAACAAATTTATATGCCACAAAATTAGGTAGGGTTGTGTGTTTATGGGTAGATGACATCAAACATATTCATATTGTTTTGTGAGCTTGCAATTGATGGAGTTTGTTTGTTGCAGCATGTTGAAGTTCCTGTACCTACTCCCAAGAAAGGTGAGCTCTTGGTGAAGTTGGAAGCGGTAAGCATAAATCCGGTTGATTGGAAAGTTCAAGCCGGTTCCTTAAGACCCATCTTTCCCCGCAAATTTCCTCATATTCCAGGTATATATATATGTTCTGCGTACTTGTCTTTCTGTCTGTACTCTTTATCTATCATATTAGAGCCGATGGCTATTTGGATCTTTATATGATTAGTGATTTTGTATCTGTTTATAACTCGCCATTTCCCATCCCCCGGGCAACCTCCCACAAACCCCTAATGGCCTAATAACACTCGCATTTGGCATCTAGAAATGAAACCAATTGTCCTTTTAACATTTTCCTTGTTTCGAAGTTGATTTGATGCACTAGTTGTGACTCGTCTTCTGGCCTTATAACTCTTGTTTATTGTCATTAGTTTTCCGTTTATAGATCTTTTTGTATTCTTTTCTTGCATTAGCTTAACTTTAATCTTGCTATAATATTTCCATCCTTTCTTGCTCGCATTGGAGCAGTTTGTGATGTGGCGGGAGAGGTAGTCGAGGTTGGTTCTGGTGTTCAGAATTTCAAAGTAGGTGACAAAGTTGTCGCTACAAACAGCATTAGTGTAAGTATAATTGCTTTCCAAAAATCATTGGGCACAAAATGGATGATACAATTTTGCATATTGAAGATAAATGTTATCACAATAACAGGATGGAGGTGGATTAGCGGAGTATGCTGTGACAAAGGAGAGCTTGACAGCTACGAGGCCACCCGAAGTATCAGCAGCCGATGCTGCAGCCCTTCCCATCGCTGGCCTTACAGCTCACGAGGCACTAACCCGAGTGGCGGGGGTCAAGCTCGACGGGAGCGGTCCTAGGAAGAGCATCCTCGTGACTGCTGCCTCCGGTGGCGTGGGCCACTACGCTGTCCAGCTGGCAAAGCTCGGGAACACACACGTCACGGCCACCTGCGGGGCACGCAACATCGAGTTCGTGAAGAGCTTAGGCGCAGACGAGGTCCTCGACTACAAGACCCCCGAGGGGGCAGCTCTTCAAAGCTCATTAGGCCAGAAATACGACATAGTCATCCACTGCACCTCGGGGATTCCCTGGTCTACCTTCGACCCCAATCTCAGCGACAACGGGAAGGTAATCGATCTCACTCCCACCCCCGCCACCTACTTAACGGTTGCCCTCAAGAAGCTCAGCTTCTCGAAGAAGCAGCTGGTGCCATTGGTTTTATCTGCCAAAGCTGAGAACCTGGACTCCCTGGTTAAACTGGTGAAAGAGGGGAAGCTTAAAAGTGTTATAGACTCAAAACACCCTCTAAGCAAGGCAGAAGATGCTTGGACTAGAAGCATTGATGGACATGCCTCAGGGAAAATAATTGTGGAGCCATAACACAAATTATATATATAGGGTTGAGTTCACACGAGGACCACAATATATAGAGGACTGTGCGGACTGATTTTAGGCACACGATAAATTAGTATCAGGCACACAACTTAATACACAATGCCACACAAGAATACATGTAAACATTAGGTTTCGAACTCAGACTCTATTAATTAACAAATCTATGCACACCACATACAAATTATGACATAGGGCTACATTCGGCCATACACACGACATACTGACTAATGGCACACGACTATTTCAGTCTTCATGGTCATCTATAATATAGTGGTCCTCATTTGAACTCAACTATATATATATATATATATATATATATATATATATATATATATATATATATATATATATATATATATATATATATTTGTATGAAATGGATGTGTGGTGTGTTTAATGTCCTGAAGAACCAAGTAGTTGGAACCTCATTACAAGGTTGTACTAATGTATGATGTGACTATGTAAGTAGTAATATACCATAGTTGATATACATTTGTTGCTGTGAAATTACTTCAAACATCTTGTTATATCTTAGGATATGAAACTCGAGAGAAATAGTGCAAACTTTATAATTGCACTTTGAAATAACATGAGAGATAAATTCTAGAATTATATATGCATTGAAAAACATAAAATTAAAATTATGCTTAGCTTTACACTTTTTTATGCGGCGAATTATGATCCACACTTCGTGGTTACACACAAAAAACAGTGAACTAAGTTTGACCACTTTTGTGGAGCGGGAATCGAATCTCTTTGCAATAGGTGACATAAGATAATATATTTTAAGGTCAATAATGAAGTGTAACAGTTCCACGGAGGCCATTCATCACTTTCCTTTCTACTCACCAATCATAATATAATGTTGCCTAAAGTGATTATATTCCTCACCTTAGTCAGCCATGTTCTTTTGTAGATTATTGCTATGCAACATGACATATTACCTCCGTCATTCCAGACGCCCGTGCTACCATACATTATTAGAAATTATGGAATTTTCGACCACCTGAAAGTGATCTTAAATCAAGTTGAAACCAAAAAGTGGCCGCAAATAGCAACAAAGGTTTTTCCGGATACCAAAAATGGTCGGGACAAGGCTTTCTACCTGATTTAAGATAACTTTCAGGTAGTTAGAAATTTCATAATTTCCATAATTTTCAGCAGTGACATAAGCTACCTGATTCGTTGACTTTCGGACATGGTGGACAACAACATCACCAATGTCCCTTGTAATGGACTGACATTGCTTAATCAAACTACCAACATATGAAAAGTTCTGAGAACCAGAATTTAATTTGTCTATAACTGATTGATTCAAATAACGAAGAAGCTTCAATGTGCTAAATGTGTATATATACAGACGTTCTTTGCTAAGTGGACATCAGAGTTGCAAACTCGATCTATTCACACTGCCATGGATGCTCTGATTCGAGTTGTAGCCATTTCAGGGGTTTTAATTATCCTTCCTTTCCTCTACCTTTCCTTGCGAAAACAAAAAAACAAGACCAAGAAACCACCGCCGGAGCCGCCCGGCGGTTTACCGATCCTCGGCCACCTTTTCCAATTCAAAAAAGAAACTCATCTGGTGAAGGCTTTGGCGACCATGGCCGACAAAATCGGGCCGGTTTTCATCATCCGGATGGGCCTCCCCCGCATCCTCGTCGTCAGCAGCTTGGAAGCCGTCAAAGACGTCTTCACCACCAACGACAAGGCCCTCGCCGGCCGCCCAAACATATGCGCCGGCGTATACCTCGGCTACAACAACGCGGCGTTGGCCTTCACCACCGGCGCGTTTTGGCGCAAGGTGCGGAAAATGGTCGTCGTCGAACTCCTCTCCACCACGAAACTCGAGAAGTGGAAACACATTTGGATCTCGGAGATGAACCTCTCGGTCAAACAACTTTACGGCTCGGTGACGAAGAACCGCGAGGTGGAGGTGGACATGGAGGAATGGATTGGATACGTGAACTTAAATATCATGTCGAAAATTATGGCGAAGAAGCGGTACAACTACTCCGTGGAACACGGCGCCGACAACCAGGATGCGGTGGTTCTGAGACAGGCGTTTAAGGATGTCATGACGCTCACCGGAGAGTTCAGCTCGGCGGACGCGTTCCCGTTCCGGATATTTCACTGGTTGGACATGGAAGGGCTTATCCGAGCCATGAAGAAAGTTTCCGACGGAACGGACGCGGTTCTTCAAGGCTGGATCGACGAACATGTGAGGCGAGGAGACCTCCCCGCCGGCGAAGATCCTGACTTCTTCGACATCATGATGAAGGTGGTGGACCAGGAATTCATCGCCGGTCAGAATTACACTCGTGACACTATAATAAAAGCAACTGCAATGGTAAGTACACTATTAGCCTATAAGTTAATTTTAACTTATTTGAACACTATTAATTGTTTGACTTGATTAAAAAATTAATATAAATGTTTAGTTAATTAATTTTTTGTAATCTCAAAATGCTAAAATTTAAAAAGCTGGTCAAAGTAACTTTCTTCAATTAAGTTTTTGAGAAAAGAAATTATATCAAACACTTATCAGATAATAACTAATTTACCAAATACTTTTCTACAATCAGTTATCTACTAGTTACACCTTTAAATTAACACAATCAGCTAACAGCTATCAACTAACGGTCATTTACTAAACATGGCCTATAATAGTTTAGAAGTTCAATTCCAATGGGAGATGAGCAACTTAGGTTGATTGGGTTGTTGCTTTGGTAACAACATGCTTTGGTAACAACAAAATTTTAAGTTTGATTTTGTCTGTCAATTATGAAATGATGCACACCCTTAGTAGTGATTAAGGGTACACACTCAACCAAGTTGATCGGACAATTGACTCGGTAACTATAAAGTTTTAATTTAATTTTCTTGATTTGAGTCTATTAACTATGAACTGGTTTACCTTAGTTTTTTGTGATTCTTTGTCTAATAGGATCAATTTATCTGATGCATACAATCCAATAGTGAATGTGGGTTCGTCACCCAAAAGAAAGCTAATGGTTTTTTTTTTTTTTTTGGTGAAAGAAAAGAAAGCTAATGATGATGAAAGTGAAATCCCATTTGTTTGTGACAGGCGATGCTTCAAGATGCAGCAGAGACCACGGTGTCCAACATGGTATGGATAATGGCGATGTTACTAAACCACAAAGACGTAATGAAGAGGATTCAAGAAGAGATAGACACCAAAGTGGGCAGAGAGAGATGGGTGGATGATTCCGACACCGACAACCTAGTATACCTCCAAGCCGTGGTCAAAGAATGCATGAGGCTATACCCCGTCGTCCCTTTGGGCTTTCCGCGCGAATCAATCCAAGACTGCGAGGTCGCCGGTTACCACATCCCAAAGGGCACACAATTATACGTCAACATTTGGAAGCTACACCGCGATCCTAAGATATGGCCCGAGCCCGAAAAATTTAAGCCCGAGAGGTTCTTGACCGAGTCGGTCCCGGACGGTCTGGCTCGGCAGTTCGGGTGGATAACGTTCGGGTTTGGGAGAAGATCGTGTCCGGCATCTGCATATGCGTTGAAGATGGCGCACTTCATATTAGCGAGGTTGCTTCAAGGCTTCGATTTCGCCACGCCTTCGGGCATGCCCGTGGACATGAGTGAGGGCCCGGGGGTTACTATGCCCAAGGCCAAACCGGTAAAAGCACTGCTTACGCCGCGCCTGCCCGCCGCATCGTACAATTGAGAGTTTTAAGGTTTCATTGTTTGAACTTTGGACAAAACAAAATCGTTCAATGTTTAATTCAGTGTTGTTTGTTGGAAAAATAAGGTGAGTTTAGCAGTTAATAGGATTGAAAATAATTCTATTTTAGCTGATTTGATCAAGTTTAACTGTTTGACTCACCAATAAATTGTTTTGAAGTGTTTGATAAATGGTTGATTTGCCTTAGCTGATTGAGTTGATTGTAAGTAGCTTAAGAAACTTAGATAACGAGATGATCAATTGATGTTGTATGATGCTGATATTGTACTGTTTTAATGTTTCCCCCCCTCCCAAAAACAAAGAGGAAAGAAGCTAGAAAAACCAACTTGCAACTGGTGCCATTATTGGTTTTATCTGCCATTATGAAATGGATAAAATGGATATGTGGTGTGTTTAATGTCCCCAAGAACCCAAGTTTGAACCTCATTAGTCATTACAAGGTTGAAGGTTGTACTAATGTCGTATGATGTAAGTAGTAATATATAGTTGAAATACATTTGTTATTCTGAAATTACTTCAAACATCTTGTTATACCTTAGGATATGAAACTCGAGGTAAATAGTGTTTACAGAGTTCTATAGAGTAAAACTCTTGTCATGTGTCGTGATTTTATTGATAGAAGAGAAATGAGGAAGAGAGTAATAAAAAATGTGAATCACTTATTTTGTTAGATGAATAAGAACACGTCATGTAAGCAGGAAGTAAAACACAGAATAACAATTGGAAGGATGATAGTATTGTTTTATAAAATTACAAACTTTATAAGTGTACTTTGAAATAACATGAGAGATAAATTTAGAATAATACATTGAAGGAATATGTATAGGTTGCATGGAAAAGCATAAAATTAAAGTTATGCTTAGCTTTACACTTTTATTGCATAATGGGCTCCAATCTGTCAAAAAGATGGGCGGGCAAAATACATAGGTTGGCCCAATTGAGGAGGAAGATTGTGGGTCAAGAACATGGGCATGGAAGCTTAGGAAGGCCTGCTCAAGGGAGGCCGGCAATTTATATCCTACACCACGGTGCGTGTTGCACTATGCGCCCAGATGCAAAACGACGTCGTTTTAATTATTTTTTTTAAAAAAATTTTCCGCCCCAGTGAATGGCAGTAGTTTTTTCTTAAAAAAAAACTCCGATGTTCAAGAATGTACATAATGTTATACTAGAATACACATAATGTTATACATGAATGTACATAATTATATAACAAAATATACATACTCTTTTTAAAAGATAATACACATAATCTAACATAATACATAATAAACATAAACTTTTAACATAATACACATCAACTCTTAACATAATACACACAAATTTTCTGATTCGGATGTACATAATTGTATAAAAAGAATGTACATAATTGTATAAAAAATACACATAACTGTATGAACCAATACACATAACGTTGTGAACAAATACACATAACGTTGTGAACAAATACACATAATCTCAGCAACTTCCTACCGCGCCTCCCAACACTACCCCAAAACGACGTCGTTTTGGGAGACGCGCGGCGCACAGTGCTATGTGCGCCGTGGTGTAGGATATAACGATTGAGGGAGGCCTAGTCTACTGGGGTTCAAGTTGGACTCCTTAGATTTAATAAAAGGCTGGATAGAAGTTAATTTAGGATATTGAGAGTGTTTGATAAATAACTGTTAACTGATCAGGTTAATGGATTTGATATTATTAACTAATTGTAGAAGATGTTTGGAAAATTAATTGTTAGTTTATAATTGATTACATACAAAATGGCTTTCTCAAAAAGCTTATCGAAAAAAGTTATTTTAAGTATCTTTTTGAATTTTAGGTCCTGTTTAGTAAATATATGTTAGCTAATAGCTGTTAGCTGATTGGATTGATTAGAGGGTATAACTAGTTGATAATGTTAGCTGATTGTAGAAATGTGTTTGGTAAATTAACTATTAGCTGATAGTTGTTGATATAATTTCTTTTCTAAAAAAAACTAATTGAAAAAGTTGTTTTGAGTAGCTTTTTGAATTTTAGCATTTTAGAGTTAATTAACCAAACGCTTATATTGATTTTTTTTTTTAACAAAGTCAAAGAGCTAATAGTGATCAAATAACCTAAAATTGACCTATAAGCTAACTATTTTACCAAACAGGGCCTCAGTGTTTGGAGCAATAAACTGTTATAAAAAAAAACTAATTAATCAAACACTTTGTTTAACTAAATTAAACAGCTAATAGTGATCAAAGAAACTATAATTAATTGATTGCTAACTATTTTTACTAAAAAGGACCATTGTCTGGTGGCGTAGGAACCTACATGCAATTTATGGCACGATATATATTGAATGCAATGGCGTATTATTTTTCTCTTATGAAAATGCAAATTTAATATAATTACAAATCTCTCCCATTATAACTCTTGGCAAATTATGCCCTGGACCCGTGTCCACAATGAATTGTGGACACGGGCCCAAAACGCCGTCGTTTTTCAAAAAAAACGCGTCATTTAGTTAAAAAAAAAAAAATCGCGCGCGTTTTGCCGTTAACGGCGTTATATATATATATATATATATATATATATATATATATATATATATATATATTGATTATGAATGTACAGTTATGCCGTTATGAATGTACAGTTATACAATTATGAAATTATGAACCTAGAGCTCTAACATTATGAACTTACAATTATGAACATATATAGTGATAAAATTATGACCATGGAGCTTTAAAATTGTGAATATAGAGCTTCGAAGATTATGAATGTACAGTTATGGAGTTATGAATGTACAGTTATAGAGTTATGAATCTACAGTTATGGAGTTATGAATCTATAGTTATGAGATTATGAATCTACAGTATGGAATTATGAATGTACAGTTATTGATCGAATTATGAACAAAGAGCTCTAACATTATGAACTTACAATTATGAACATATAGTGATAAAATTATGAACATAGAGCTCTAAAATTGTGAACATAGAGCTTCGAAAATTATGAATGTACAATTATGGAGTTATGAATGTACAGTTATGGAGTTATGAATGTACAGTTATGGAGTTATAAATGTACAATTATTAACATATAGTAATAAAATTATGAACATATACTCCTATAACGAAGCGATTTGAAATTTTTTTTTTAAAAAAAAGAAGAAATAACAATGCCTAACGACACTATTACCCGTGTCCAGCAAGCATGCTGGACACGGGTCCAACGCATAACGATTGATAACTCTTGTTCTTGGCTTTTTCTTATTATTAGTTATAACGTGTTTCCCAACAATAGCAATCACGCCAACATTTTATCATGCCCCATTAAACAGCCTACATATAAATTTCTATTTTTATTTACCCTTGTCTTTAGAGGCAAATTATGCCTGGTGCATACGGATGCAAAAACGACGTCGTTTTATTAAAAACGCGCGTCTTCTCTTAAAAAAAAATCAGGTTCGATTCTCAGTAACAACATATGAACTAAAATTCCAGAATCGATGAACTATAATTCCAGAATCTATGAACTAAAATTCCAGAATCTAATCTATGAACTAAAAATTTCAGAACGAATGAACTAAAATTTCAGAATCGATAGAACTACAATTCCAGAATCGATGAACTATAATTTCAGAATCAATGAACTAAAATTCTATAATCTATAAACTAAAATTCCAGAATGAATGAACAACATAATGCTGTTGCTGGGAATCGAACCTGATTTTTTTTTTTTTTAAGGGGAGACGCACATTTTTAATAAAACGACGTCGTTTTTGCATCCGTATGCACCATCAGCATAACTACTCGTCTTTAGAATTGTTAATGTGAATAAAAAATTTCACGGGCTGGGTTGTCATCAGTGTAACCCTAATTTACTTTGTATGGCTCGGGTTGGTGAGCCTTGCTCATTAGTTTTAAGAAACCTATGCACCCCAAAAAAATTATTATTATGAACTGGAATAAATATTAAATAGGTCATTCAATTGCAATTAAGTTATCAAATTAAAAATAATATATAATTGAGCTCATGAACAATATAAATTCATATAATTAAATCAAAATGACTTGTTTATCTGAAAGTATGCTAACCTGAGGGTTACCAATTTTAAACCATGATTGATTTAAATCAATAAAATCAATTGAAAGCTTCAATGTGCTAAATGTATGTGTATATATACAGAGAGCAACTTAACTAAATGGACATCAGAGTTGCAAACTCTATACACACTGCCATGGATGCTCTCATTCGAGTTCTAGCCATTTCAGGGCTTCTAATCCTTCCTTTCCTCTACCTTTCTTTGCGAAAACAGTCTAAACACAAAACCAATACCAAGAAACTACCGCCGGAGCCGCCCGGCGGTTTGCCGATCCTCGGCCACCTTTACCAATTCAGCAAAGAAACTCATCTGGTGAAGACGCTGGCAACCATGGACGACAAAATCGGCCCGGTTTTCATCATCCGCCTGGGCCTCCCCCGCGTCCTCGTCGTCAGCAGCTGGGAAGCCGTCAAGGACTGCTTCACCACCAACGACAAGGCCCTCGCCGGCCGCCCAAACATATGCGCCGGCGTATACCTCGGCTACGACAACGCGGCGTTGGCCTTCACCAACGGCGCGTTTTGGCGCAGGATGCGGAAAATGGTCGTCGTCGAGCTCCTCTCCACCACGAAACTCGAGAAGTGGAAACACATTTGGATCTCGGAGATGAACCTCTCGGTCAAACAACTTTACGGTTCGGTGACGAAGAACCGCAAGGTGGAGGTGGACATGGAGGAATGGATTGGATACGTGAACTTAAATTTCATCTCGAAAATTGTGGCGAAGAAAAGGTACAACTACTCCGTGGAACACGGGTTCGACAACCAGGATGCGGTGGTTCTGAGACAGGCGTTTAAGGATTTCATGACGCTGACCGGAGAGTTCAGCTCGGCGGACGCGTTCCCGTTCCGGATATTTCACTGGTTGGACATCGAAGGGCTTGTCCGAACCATGAAGAAAGTTTCCGACGGAACGGACGTGATTCTTCAAGGCTGGATCGACGAACATGTACGGCGAGGAGACCTCCCCGCCGGCGAAGATCCTGACTTCATCGACATCATGATGAAGGAGGTGGACGAGGAATTCCTCGCCGGTCAGAATTACACTCGTGACATTATAATAAAAGCAACTGCAGTGGTAAGTACACTATTATACACTACAAATTCGTTTACCCTATAAAAGAATTGGCCTAATAAGTATAATGTTACAAGTTCAATTCCAATGAGAAATAAGGAATCTAATGAGAGTTTCAATACCCACCTAAATTAATCAGATTGTTGCTTTGTTAAGTTTCAAGTTTGATCTTCTTGTTTTGATTCTGTCAATTATGAGATGATACACACCCTTAGTAGTGACGGCCTGCACACAGTCAAGTTGGTCAGACGGTTTGCTTTGGCAACTATAAAATTTCAAGTTTGACTTTCTTGATTTGAGTCTATTGACTATGTGTTAGTTTATTTCTTTGTGATCATTTGTCTGCTAGGATCATAGAGTTGAATTTATCTAATGCATACAGTGGTTGTGGGTTTCTGTCACCCAAAAAAAGCTAATGATGAAAGTGAAATCCCATTTGTTTGTGACAGGCGATGCTTCAAGATGCGGCAGAGACCGCGGTGTCCAACATGGTATGGATAATGGCGATGTTACTGAACCACAAAGACGTAATGAAGAGGATTCAAGAAGAGATAGACACCAAAGTGGGGAGAGAGAGATGGGTGGAGGATTCCGACACCGACAACCTAGTATACCTCCAAGCAGTGGTCAAAGAATGCATGAGGCTATACCCCGTCGTCCCTTTCATCGTACCGCACGAAGCAATCCAAGACTGCGAGGTCTGCGGTTACCACATCCCAAAGGGCACGCAGTTATTCGTGAACGTGTGGAAGCTACACCGCGATCCTAAGATATGGCCCGAGCCCGAAAAATTTAAGCTCGAGAGATTCTTGACCGAGTCGGTCCCGGACGGTCTGGCCCGGCAATTCGGGTGGATGCCGTTCGGGTTGGGGAGAAGATCGTGTCCCGGATCTGGGTATGCGTTGAAGATGGCGCACTTCATATTTGCGAGGTTGCTTCAAGGCTTCGATTTCGCCACGCCTTCGGGCATGCCCGTGGACATGAGTGAGGGCCCGGGGATTACTATGCCCAAGGCTAAACCGATAAAAGCACTGCTTACGCCGCGCCTGCCCGCCGCAATCTATGAGTCGTCCAATTGAGAGTTTAAGGTTTCATTGTTTGAATTTGGGACATAACGAAATCGTTCGAGGTTTAATTTAATTTAATGTTGTTTGTTGGAAAAATAAAGTGGGGTTAGCGGTTAATTACTTGATCCCTAATCCCTAGCTTGTAATAATGCATTTGTGTGTATTCTGTTTATTTATGCACTAAGTTTATCAAATGTTAATTACATGGAGTATGTGACTTTCTCTTTTATTTGTTTGTTTTTTTTGTTTTTTTTTTTTTTTTTGGTTTTTGGGATCAGAGGAGGGGGATACCCAACACAACTAAATAACATTTACAGTTCGTTGATGTGAGATTCGTCTAGTCGACGAAGCTCCCATCCTGTCGAGGGCAACCATATCCTCAAGCTCCCCTGGCGGCGTCTCTAGGATGTGAAGGCCACTGTGATGCAGCGCCGCCAAAGATGCCAACTTATCGACTAGTCGGTTTTTTCTCTATAGATATGCGCATATCGCACCTCAGTGAACTCCTATGCTTCTCTAACACACAGACATGCAATGTTGTTGGATTGATTTTGCCAGCCTTCACTCCTCCGTAACGTCTCCACCATTAACTTCGAGTCACACTCAAGGATAATTCTTCTGGCGCCATACTCCTTGGCCATATGTAGGCCCTGCAAGACGCCCCACGCTTCCGCCGCTTCAATTGAGCATCTTCCAATTCTATACACGAAGCCTCGTCGCCAGTCACCGTTGTTATCCCGAAGATCACCTCCACAACTCGCTTGGCCGTCTCTCTTGCAGCTGCCATCTACGTTTAACTTCAACCACCCCTCCCTCGGTTTCGCCCAAGCCAATCTAGCTTCGTCTCCCCGGTTACTCCTAGACATTGGCCAGCTTCTGCCCTCGTAGGCCCTAGCTATCTCTCTTAAATATGTTTTTTTTTTTTTTTTTTTTTTTTGTGAGATCGATAATAGGATTGAATTTTTCTAGATCAACTTAATTAAATCAAGCATGTTATGTAATTGGATGAAGCAACAAGATGATAGGTGAGTTGGGCTAGGAGCGATAAATTTTTATGGAGGTAAGCTAGCATAGATATTCTTGTTCGGATAGACGGGTTAAATCATCATAACTTTTTCAATTTTTTTTAGAGTAAAAGTAACACTAAAACATGCCTATGTTTCTCTTTAAATTAAATAAGACGTTGTCCTCAAATCACATATTACCTTATCTTATAAGAATAATAAGTTTTTTCATTCCTTGCATTATATATTGCAATGATCCTTGAATTTTAAACTAGTTTTCTATTTGATTTACAAGTTACAACATCTAATTTCATCACTACTAATTAACTTTGTAATGATATATAGTTGGGATAAAGAGAACCAACAAATTAAAACTTGGAATATACATCCATTGACTAGGGTTCACAATGTACTATGGACTATACTGCATGTGTATGTGCATTATGTTATGAGTATGAATTTTGTACTTGAAACAAATTAATAATTGTGTCTTATGTTGTGAATTCATATGTCTTGTGTTGTGAAATTCTGTGCCTATGTACACAAATTATGTACCTCAATCAAATTTTAAAAATAAGTAAATATATAACATGTGTATGTGTCTTGTATTGTGATTTTTTATGTCTTGTGTTATGAAATTTTGTATTATACGAATATGAATCTTGTATCTCGTCGTTTCGATCCAGGATCCATAATACTTTGCGGACCTTAGGATGGTCCATGATATAAATTGCCGAAGTTATGAATCTTGGCTTTCAATTTTGTAAATAATAAATTATATTATAGCTCTTTTATATGCTTAAGTTTGCATTGCCATGAAAACATTTTTGGGTAACGTCTTCTCCAAATAAGCTAAGAGTCAAACATTACAAACACTTTTCGAATCAAATCTAAATTAGTCATTATTATGAGCCACTCAAATCTCATACTCATGTACATGTACAACTACACATATAAAATCGATCTAAATTTGCTGGTCAAAATTATCACATCTAAATAATGTCTTTGATTTATAAAAAAAAGTTTGCATTAGTTACCTGAAAAATGTACTGTAGTAGGTGAAGCTTACTTTGTGATTTTCTAGGAAGGCATTGTGACCTATAAGGAGGTAGGTTGCCGTATATAGCTGAGTGGCTCAAACTTAAAAGATCATTTGATCTATAGGTATCCCTCAGAAAGTCAAATTTAAAATCTTGCAATTAATAAATTAACTGTTCGATCAATTTAGTTGTAAAAAATCCAAGTCATGTTTACTATGAGGGAGTGGATGCCACCTGCTGTATAGACAATGACCTGATTTACATATTCGGCCCATAAACCAACCAATTATCAATTTTTTTTTTTTTTTTTAATGCGGCCACATCAATAATCAGTTGATAAATAAATGTTGATATTTATTAATCAATTTATAATATTAATTTTTTATTCTAAAAATGATGAAAATTAATATTAGTTTAAACGAATTATTATGGTTGAACAAAAATGACTGGAGAAACAGTGGTCAAGTTTTGTCGTGAGGGCTGAGGTTGTGTTTTCTTGTCCTCTAGCCGTTAAAACGTGTTTCCTAATAGTTACCCAACAAATCCATTTGATTGCATCTCAAATAGTACATTATTTATATCATTTCGGCCTTTTCACATAATATATATTAGATGATTATAGAATAATTAATTAATTAATAATAATAGTCATTCCATTATCTGCATTGCATATAACAATAATTTAGTAAGATAATGTGTTAAATTATTAGCTGAGGGTGCCCGCTAAAAAGGGTTAGGACCAAGACTATGTGGTCTAATGGTATCCGGGTTGGACTTTCATTTGGAAGGGTTCGAGCCTCAGTGGAAGCGTTATTGGTGCTTTATGTTTCAGTAGGTTGAGAAAGTATATGAACAAATACTACAATGTAATAGGGTCAGTACCATTAAAAAAAGAATGTTATCTTTGTGGCATAAAGATAACACAATTATATCTTTGTAATTGTGTTATTCCCAAAAGGTTGAATTGAATCTCCAATCCTAAGGGCCGACAGAACATTTGGAACTAGATTTTTGCTTACTGCACATAAGGAGACTTTCACTATAAGAAAAATTTTTTATTTCTCAATTGAGACGAGGACAAAGACTATACTCTCCGCTCCCACTCAAATCCATTGCCATCCCAAGTCTGAACCCCAACACAATCACTGCTGGGAATTATGGAATTTTCGACCACCTGAAAGTGATCTTAAATCAAGTTGAAAGTCTTGTTCCGACCACTTTTGGTATCCAAAAAAAACCTTTGTTGCTATTTCCGACCACATTTTTACTTTCAACTTGATTTAAGATCACTTTCGGGTAGTCGAAAATTTCATAATTTCCAACAGTGAATCTTAATTGTCCCTAAATTTCCATATATAAGTTTACATGTATTAACTGTCTAATTAATAAGTTGAATGTTAAATGTTTTAAGTTTTATAAATTCAAGTATACAATTTTGTAAGTGAGAATATGTTTAATATATTATAATACACCTAAATAATTAAAAAAAAAGTTTCATTCAAAATTACTATCAATAGAACATAACTATTAATTTTATATTAGAGTACAGTCTATTCCACGTCTTAAATTATCATCAATCACTTTCAATTATACTTTTTAGAAAAATAAAGATAAAATCATTTTCTTTATTTCCAGACAAAATATGTTCTGTACAACCTTCAATTATGATGCTTGGATAATATTACTTAACCTCAATTATGTAATTTTCCCTCGTCACCTTCTGAATTAACAGAGACAAGATAGTGTTGGAAGAATAATGTTTATCTGTTTTCTACTTTTCTAAGATATGTAACTATTAGTGCTCATCATCATCATCATCATCATCATCATCATCATCATCATCATCATCATCATCATCATCATCATCATCATCATCATCATCATCATCATCATCATCATCATCATCATCATCATCATCATCATCATCATCATCATCATCATCATCATCATCATCATCATCATCATCATCATCATCATCATCATCATCCCGTTTATCTGTTTTCTACTTTTCTAAGATATGTAACTATTAGTGTTGTTATATTATTACTAGTATTTTCACCCGTGCGATTCACGGAATGAAATTGTTGTAACATATTAAGAATATTTAAATCGATATATAATTATTTAAGAGTTCATTTCACCAGAGGTTGTTGTAACATATTAAGAATATTTAAATCGATATATAATTATTTAAGAGTTCATTTCACCAGAGGTCGTTTATCTTTCCTGACAATTCCAAATTTAATCCTAGACTATAGTTATTAATTATTACAATTTATTCTATGTTACAACTCTTATGTTAATATTCTTACTATTATTATTAACACTTAATTACTTTTAGATATTATTATTACCACTTATATTATTATTATTATTATTATTATTATTATTATTATTATTAGTTTCTTTTCAAGTACTGTTAGTATATAATGGTCGTGAGGCACAATAATAATATAACCATAATTAAATATTCTTGTATTGTATTCCGGAGTTAATGCCATTTTTGATCTTAGACTTATTGAGGCATTGACACTTTTCATCCTCCATAATAAAAATTGCCACTTAGTAGACACTGTTATTGGTCGTTGGACAGTTTTGATCCTCCGTCAATGAAGCCGTTTGTTGACCGTGAATTAGAAAGGCTTTTCTGTCATTTTATGTCTTATTCTTCTAATCTTGTGAATCCCCCTCACGTGTACGGTGGATTCCAACCAACACGTTAATGGATATATGCTCACACCCCCCCTCACGTGTACGGTGGACGCTTATGAGTGGCGTTGAGATTCGAACCCATGACCTTTGGTCTGGCTTTGATACCAAATTGAAGCATGTGTTCCATCTCAACTAAAAGCCTAAGCTGATAGTTGGATACACATTAATGGATATATGCTCACAGTGAGTAGCAGCGAGGTTCTTCTCCGGCGAGTTGTGGGTGCGGCGGCGAGCATACGAGGCAGTAACTCCTTCTGGCGAGGTTGGGGCCTTCATCGGTGGTTTTTGGTTTCGGCGAAGCAGAGAGGGCAGCAGGTCGGCGAACCCTCCTATGGTAAATAGCAGTTGTAGTTGTAGATGGCGTGATGTAGAATTTGCACCTGTAAGTCCTCCCTTCCATATTGACCACAAATATCCTTCCCATCTCTCTCTCTCTCTCTCTCTCTCTCTCTCTGACCACAACTACTTGGTA